GGGGGGCGGGGGGGGGGGGGGGGGGGGGTGGGAGAAGCCTTGTTCTTATTGACTTCAGCTGGTGCTAGATTACACTCAGTGGTTAGAAATTAACATCTCATCGCCACTTAAGGAGTGATTAAAAAAGGCACCCACTCTCTTATTGTACTCCTTTTCTTGGCAGTGGAGGGAGGTGCAGTTCAGAGCAGAAGCCTTATGTATGCTCCAAATCATCCCCTATACTTGCCTATTTGTCCCTATTTGCAAAAGGGGAGCCTAAACAGGCTTTCCTAGGCTAAACTTAGCTGTTGTGATTATTCTACTATTGCTGTGCTGGCTTTACTCCAGAGCTCATCTCTATGTTGGTGTATTATTCTACCATGAAAGTGGTGCAATGCACTGGGAAATCAGGCCCTGAGGTTAAAGTCTGCTTAGGACTGGCAGAAATCTCCTGGAAGTCATAGGTAAGACTCTGCACCCCATAAATAAGTAGTGTATTCTGGTTAAGTGGAGAAGGCCATTTATTCCGTTAAGTAAAACTCTCCTAAGTGAATCCTTGTTGAAGGAACCACATGTAGGTGGAACTGCCTAATGTGAATCGTGTAATAGACTTCTGATGAAGTGCCCTGTCAATTATGAGAGCCATCTATTTTGATTTGGATGGCTTAGTGTTCAGGCTGCTCTTCAACACCTTTATGTTCTCCATGTGGTATTGCTATCATCAATTATTTACAGGATGGCACAAATGTAAGTCGTGTTTTACAAAGATGAGGTGCATAATCTAGTCTGGCATTATCAAGCCATAGTATCTCCACTGAGAGCAGTGAATTCATCCTGTTCGTTAGTCTCTACCCCATGCAGCTCTAGGAACTGAATCCAAGGGCTGAATCTTGAGGACTTCTTTCAGGTCTGACACTTATTTCTCTTCAGTAGTCTTGACATTACGTGTCTAGCCCTTCACCCCAGGCTCTGTCTGCAATCAGTGAAGATAAATAGGTGTCTGCAAAGAGCTATTTATTTCACTTTGATAACAATAGAGGAAAGCAGATGATATCTAAGACCAAACGTACAGCTTTTGTACCTCTAAAGTTAGGTGAGACAAATTCCACTCTGAGTCAAAATGTAGTGACCGAGACCAGCAGAACTCAGTGTTTCTCCTTGCTGACCGATGTCCTGGGCAGAATGTCCAAGAGCAGCGCTTGCTTCCTGCCTTACTGCTTGTCTGGCTAGCAATCTGGGGAGAAAACATTATCACTGTTGTTATAGTGGCTTAGAGAAATCAGGGAAAACTCCACCTTCCTGTCTGAAGAAGTAAGCTGTTCTGCTGACTTTGAATTATCAACACCAATTTTCCTTTTTTTCTTCTTTTTAGGGTGAAGTCTTGGGCAGATGCCTTCGGTGGGGAGCTGTACTCCATTGTGACTAAGTATTCAGGCTCTCTCCTCTTGCAGAAGGTAGGCAAAAGCTGCGAGGGTTCCCTTGGCTTCACATCATCTCCCTATGTAGGCCTCCAAGGTTTCCCCCTGGGGTAGAAGAAAGCAAAACACGCAGGTCTCCAGCTAACTTTCAAAACCATGCAGGTTCATATCCATAAGCACAGAGTGATGCCCTGTGGCCATTCTCTGTGAACTGGAGAGGGGGATCCACCTAATGCCTTTCCTGCTATCATTAGCCACGGCCAAACACCACCTAAATTGTCCCATTTTTCAAAAATATGTTTTAACAGTACTCCTCATGTTTCCCCTCTGATGATCTTTTTATGCCCTTCCACACTGACCTGTCACTCCTCCCTTCCTAAGTGTGCATCAGTCCCTCTCCTCCTACTCATCACTCACCTGCTCATTGCCACCCCATCGTCCCCTCCTGCAGCTCTCCAGCTGGCACTCTTGTTTCTTTCTGCTTCCTCATCTGTCTTCCTCCAGTCACTCATCAATTCTTTGAATTGTGCCTTTAAAACTCTGCTTTGGACAGCGTCTCTGAGGCAGGTGCCCTAGAAGCCGTGATATTCCAGAGGTGCAGAGCTCTGCTTGGCTTCGTCACCAAACGGGCACTGTTGCACTAAACTCTTTATTGGCACTAAAGGGTGTAGCTCCAGGGGTTTTAAATAAATGGTCCCATCTGCAGCTGTAGAGAAGTTGCCCTGTCACCTTGATTCCTGAAGTCAGAGTTGAATGGCTGCTCCTCTTTCAGACTTGGTGAACTCTGCACTGCGGCAGCAGGGCTGGATGGATCAGCACCTCCCAAGTGCTGCTCAGGGGGCCTGGTGGCTGTGGAGCCCATCTGATGGGATGCCGTCCCCTCTCCACCTCATGTGGCCATCTGGTTACTTTTCTCTTCTCTTTGATTCTTTTCTTCAACACAAGCCACATGTTGCCTCTTATGCCTTCTAGGTGTCTGATTCTTGCCTTGCTGCTGAGCCCTCTGTTTCCCTCTCCCCACAGTGCTGCTTTCTGTCTGGAGTAAGGGAGCATCTCACGCAGCATCACCTTTGCTAGGCTTGGCCAAGAAAGGCCTTCAGCATCCATCACAAAGGTCTATACTGATCATCAGCTCTTCTTAGGAGGAATGTGCCACCATGCAATAAAAAACTCAGCACTAATCTAGGTACTTCATGCACTAATCATGAGGCAGCTATGGTGGGATATAGATGCAGGCAAAAGTTTGGCTTTTAGCAGGTTTGATGGTGCTTCTGCATTGCCTAATCTTCCATGGGTTCCCCAGGTGATAATTGCTAGAGGCAAAGTGACATGCTAAGGCATCTCTGGTGAGTGCTGGAGCTCCAGTGGGCAGGTGATAGATTGGGGTTATTTGATAGTCAGGTCTCTGTGTCTGACGCTGTATAGGTGTACTTCAACACAGCCAACTTGCACTGTTTCTGTAGCTATTTATACTAACAGATTAAGGGAGTTCATGTTCCTTAAGGCCCAGAAGTCAGTGGGACTAAAGAGAACAGGGGATAGCTTGAAAATACCAGTGTTGTGAAAGTTAGTAATGGAGGCCAAGGATGGCAGATGTGACACTGAGGTGGGTGTCAAGAGACAGCTGCGCGTGTAAGAACCCTGAAGGTAACCAAATCCAATCTAGCATTCATGTCAAGGGGAGTCAAGGCAGAGCTATATTTCCGTGGTGGTCTGGCAGCCTCATAAAATAATCACATTTGCCTGCCCAAGTCCATGTCCACATGGTTTTGTTGTTCGAGGGGGGAAGGAGTCTGGTTTGCTCTTGCATGTGTTGGGGCCTGGATGCAGCACAGACTGATTGGACTTTGTACAGTCTCTGGATACCCCTGAGCGGGACACAGTGTCACCCGTGACTCAGGGAAAATGTCCTTCAGCGAGTCACTGTCACCACTTCCAGCAGGGAGTACAGATGAGCTTGATCTAGCCTTGCTCTGTTAACACTCCAGCAAACAGTCATCTTCTAAATGTGTGTCCTGCCCTGCCCTAATGTTACTTAAGCAGTTTAAACAGCTCAGGTTTACCTTTCAACCCTCAAGTCCCATTTCTTGAGCTCTTTCATTTCCCCTTATTTCCCTGGGACTAGGGAAATAGGGGAGGACCAGCCAGCACCCACTTCTTCAGTCCTTTTCTTGGCCTCTATTTCTTTAGCAAGCACTTCTTACAAATCAGTGTCTCAAAGCAGGGAACATCCTGGAGGGCTCCCTCTGCATCCCTAACGCTTACAGTGCTGCAGAAGGACAGCTTCAGGAGATGCAGACAGATCTTTTACTAATAGGCAACATTTTCATGCCCCATGAGATGCACCTTGGCAGACCCCAAATAGCTTTATGTAGATCACCACACTGATGCAGATTGCAGGCAAGTCAGGCCTGGGGAGCCAAATGCACCGAAGTCTGGAAATCCAAATGTGTGCTCTGAGGCACCTTTCTCTTTTTGGGCTATTACCTCCTTTTCACATGAAATATTTCTCTGTGTGTGTGTGCACAGGCAGATCAGCAGAAGGGTGGGGAGCACAGTGTAGAGGCTCAAACAATTCTTTCCTTGGTGCTTGTTTAATCCGACAGGCATTTTGCCTTTAAGGAAATGCAAACTGAGAGATAACAGCACTTTTCATATTTTAATTCATGTCTCCGTTGTGCCTTATAGGCTTGAAGTAACTAGCTTATTGTTGCCTTGAGAGCCATAGTTTTTCAGTTACTGAATGTTTTGCATGTAAACCTTCTCTTTAATATTTAGCATAAACTTCCTTTTGTGGCTCTGAGTTTGTTTGGTTTTCTTTGGGGTTTTTGTTTCCCCCAGAAGAGCCCAAACATCATGTTGCAAACCCAAATGGTCAATTTCTTACCAGGCTTTATTGTTCCCAGAGACCTGGTGAACTAGTAGATGTCTCTTGAATCCACAAGGGCAGGTTCTTGCCCTGGATCAGAGAGCTTTGAGAAAGACCCCAGGAGGCTCTCTATCTGAAGCAGTCAGCATACCATCAAATTAAACCTCACAGAGGTAGCAAAAGCTGAAGAGTGGCTTTGGTTTGATGGCTGCAGCACTCATTGTATTCTTTTGACCATTACGCAGCAGAGGTTAAGATAAGCTTGTGCACTTAAACTGGCTCAGAGATGAGGGATCTGTATTAAAATGCTGGCTGAGGTCTAGGACAGCTGAGGCCAATACAGCTGGAGTAAAGAGGTGTGTGAAAGGCTGAGTAGGGGGAGGGCAGTAGTATCTCCCAGAGCTAAGGAACAGAAAGTTTGAACCTGTGGCTTATTAGGTCTGTTTGCCGGAGTTGACCAGGGAGGGACCAAAGGCCTGGGGCTACCAAGGGCAGCCATGCCAGGAGGATACCACAGTGGTTCTGCGCTTCTCGGGGCTTGCCTCCAAGTGACAGAAACACCATCAGCTTCAGCAGACTCAAAACTTAACTTCTCTGTGTGTTAACAATGCACTATAAGTGTTTCTGAGAATTGCCTCCTGCTTCCTTCTGTAGCTGAAGTGCTAAATGCCTTCCCTGGTGGAAAGGGCTGAGAAAGGACAGCAGGGCTTGGCTCCAGCTGTGTAATTACTAGAAAGCACTACAAATAACTATATGGTAAAGAACAGACAAATTGAAGAAGTTCAGTCAAGACATTTTCTTGGGTGAAGATGAAGGGAATGTCTTTCACGCTCTTAATATAGTTTCACTAGCAGTGAGTAATGCAACACTGTGTACTTCAATGGGCTAAATTTCATGGAGGTGGGAACAAGAAAATATATTTGGTGACATATCTCTGTTCACAGATAAAACTTAGGATACTGAATCCTGGATATTCCACTTTTAAATCTCCACCCCCACCAATGCAACGGGAGAATCTTAATGAATCACTCCTGCTGTTTTAAGGGAATGCTAAGTACTAGATGAATATGTTGTGATTTGCTGTTAAATCTGAGTTAACTTTTTGGCCCCTTTTCAACATCAGATGCTTTCAGCCAGTTCTCCCGAGCCTGTAGCTGGTACTTGTTCTGTAAATTATAATGATCTGATAACCTGAACCCTAAACTCAGGTTGTGCAGGTTAATCTTGGTTGGCTACGAGCACCTGTGTTAACATTTGACATTTGCTGTGTACTTTCACCATGGTGTCTGGTAGCAGTATTGGAATCATAGGTGCTACTCTGTTGCCCACCCTTAGGAACTCTTGCAATGAATATTCATTCATAGCAGGAGATTTTAGTGGCAGCAATACAGATACAAAATGGTTTGCTGGACCATTTGTAGGAAAAAAGCTCAAAGGGATTTGAGTTCGAAGCTGGTGTATTCCTCGAAGCCAACTGCAACTTTGCAGAAAGTTTTTGGGGTTTTGTTTTGTTTTTTGTTTTGGGGATTTTTTTTTGTCTTCCCAGCTCTGGCTAGTTCCCGGGGCTGAGATGTGTGTACAGTATTAGCAGCCTGCTCGTGATTGCTCATGATTACTTTTACCCTATTAATATCTACTTGTCAATGTGTCAAAAGCACATTAAATATTAATTGAGAGGTAAAGAGCCCTGTTCTTTTTAAGTCAGGATATGACCCAAGGTAACCGATGGTAGGTCACTTTGTAAAGCGTGTGCTTGCCCGTGCTGGTGCAGTCCCCCCCTTCGCTAGCTTTCCCAGGAGAGATTACCCTCCTCCCCCCGAGGAGGGCCTGATTAAAGCCTAGCCTGGCAGAGATCACTTCCCTCCTGACGAAACCGTGACATGGAGCTAAATGGGACAGGCACCAGCTGGGATGTGTGCTGTGGTCTCGTCAGCAGCCAGGGACCTCAGCCGGGGGGTTGTTGCACACCCCTCTTTCAGCAGCGTGGTTATGCTAACCTTTGTGCTCAGCCCAACCTCTTCCTCCTCCCCCGCCCATCCCAGCTACCCAGCCACAGCAGAGGGGATGCGAGGCCTGGCGTTTTTAATCCAGTAAAACCCTTGCTGTTAATCACGTCAGACAGAGCGAGCAGCCTCCCCGCCATGCCTGCTGCAGGCTGGATGCTGCTGCTATTTCTGTCTGACCTCCTCAGCCTGCCCCATCCTCAAGGCATTTCTTATTCTGCCTGTGCTCAGCTGCCCTCCTGGATGGTCAATGAGCTTCTTGAACAAAAGGAACTCCACTTGCTCACCCTAAAGACATGCAACGTCCTCCCCCCCCCACTTTCTTCTAATTCAAAAGTGCCACTAAAGCCCCTGCCATCCCCTTACCCTTTTCACCACCTCATTTTGTACCAGCACAAGAAGTCCAGCCCTGGCTGAGATTGCTGCTATCGTGCTAATGCAACATGAAGATGGAGGGGATGTGTATACTCTGCAGAGAGAAATGATGATGAGCGACCAGGGAAATTCAATCAGTTGCCTTTGTGCTTCCATATTGTGGGGAGATAAGGTTCTGTCTTTTCTGAAATGGGTTAATCATATTGCGTCCTTTTTCTGGTTTGGTTTTGGTTTTTTTTTACTCTTTCTTTCTGTCTATCTCTGTTAGCTTTAGTATTTTTTGAAAGGGAGAAATAAAGGCCATTGTATCCAGTCTTGAAAGGACAGATTTAGGGAGGCAAATTACAGTTACCCAGTCTGGGAGTACTCTCAGGTTTTTAATGCCTAGATTATATGAAACATGCTCAGAAGAAACTGGTTATCTCTAAAGCTGTCAGTTTGAGATCCTCCTCGTTATGGCATCTCTCCCAGTGGAGATAGCACTAAGCAGCCATGCTCGTAATTCCTGATTTCTGGGAATTGTCTCTGTGCTGCTTTTGGCCCAAAGCATGCTCATGCATGCTGAATAAGTAGCATCATAACTGTCTTGCTGACCTTTCCTTGGCAATCTCCCACCTAAGCACTGAGCGGACCCTTCTTGCTGTAGACCTGACAAGTTACCCTACAGATATGATGGCACTGTGGGAGGATAGGACATGCACTAGCATTATATCTCTCCCACTAGTGCCCCAGAGCACATATGACGTAGGAGGTGATGTAATGACAGCATACAGCTCTATTCCCTTGCCCTTCCCTCTGCCTTAAGTAAATTTCAGGTATGCCATGCATATAATGCTATTGTGCATGTAAGCACAATGTGTATTAGACTTTCAAAAGTTGGCCTTCTGCTTCTCTCTTATTTGTAGGCGCTAATAGCTTCAGGTACATTGCTGTTCTCAACAGCCACCAGCTCACAATTGGATCAGTTGCTTTTACTTAGTCAAGATGCTTTGTGTTATGGCCAGTGATCTGCACACACCCACATTATGGGGTGAAAAGGGAGGAAAGGCAGAGATGGGAGAAGGTGATAAATCAGACCAGTTCTTTCAACACATCTTTCTTCACCAAAGACAATACCCAGCTAACAATAATAGATTCACCCCTCTCCTTATGAGCCTCCTGCTCAGCAAGATTTTCTGCTTTCCCTTGGGTAGAAGTACAAAGATGTGGAGCCAACTCTGAAGATCAAAGAGGTGGATGGCTTGGAGCTGGTGAAGAAGTTCTCAGAGCAGATGGAAAGCATGCTCCGCAGGAAGGTTGAAGCCGTTGAGGTATGACCACGGGGGCTATGGGAAGGAAGTTCTCTGCTGTCAGCCCCAGAGCAGTAGATGCAGGCCTCCTGGTGTACCAGGAGTGTGTGGGCGCAGAGGTTGCATGAGGACTTCCTTGCCCAACCAAATGCCTGCTAGTGCAGCTGGCTGCTCGCTCTGAGCTTTAAGTAGACACTGGTGGGAGGATGTGGGTGTTCAGACAAGGGAATGCTGGCTTCTCCCTCAGCCCAAAGTAGGAATTAAGATAAAAACAAAGTCTAGGAATAAATATGAAGGAACGAACACTCTTTTAGGAGAAAGGAGCTGTTTAAAGAGAAAAAACCTCTCACAAGTGAAAATAAAGTTCATCATTGCATAATGCATTCTGGCCATTGAAGACTAGTAGCTTGTTTCAGTTGTGCGTGTGGCTCGGGAAATTTCTGCAGCCCCTGAACACAAGCTGCGAGGAAGGTGCTTGGATTTTCAGCTGTGTACATGGGGAGGCGTGGAGGAGGTGGCAAGAGGTCTTTAGCTGTTGCTGTGTTGGAGATCAGAGCAGGTAATCGTTATGGCCCCTCTTACTTCTTGCATCTAAGGGTCTATCATATTCCCTTATATTTACCCACTATGAAAAGCATATTTCTGTAGTCACAGAGCCTTGACTGTTTAAGGCGTCTAATGTGGAAAAGTCATCCAGAAACACATCATTTGAATCTCAAAGTGAAATGTGGGCATATTTAAACCCAGAGCTTTGGCCCATAACATTAAATTCATAGCCAGACTTTTCCAATGTTTGGATTGCCTTATCCTTTGTGCAGGAGCAAAAGCTAGTTTTGCTGAGACTGTTGCTGATTGTGCAACCCTGAAAACATGTACATGTTAAGCTGGATTCCTTCCTAGTCTGTACCAATTGAGAATCAGTGCCCTGAAGCATCATACTGGGGAATACTAGTTGATTATATTGCCTTCCATAAATGGTAAGAGCTTATAAATGGCCACAGCATTGCTGAGCCCTTTATGAAATCAAGTCATGGTCTTTGTCTTGGTAACAATACCAGGCTGAGACTCCCACAAGGCCTTTTCCTTTGATGAGATACTGACATCAGGCTGGGTCTGAAATGCCTTTCCCATGGCTTTTTGGAAGGGTTCATGGAAAATGAAATTAAATCTCTGGCTGTTGTTTCTCTAAAGGGACATGTTTCTATTTATCCTTTGTCCATGTGTATGTCCTGTGATATCTAAGATTGCTCAGGGGTTTAGTAGGGACTCTGGAGTAAGTAGGTGTGAATATACTTGGCAGTAAATAGCTGTGAATATATCTTCCAAGCTGTAAAGTTGCAGTGCAGAATGACAGGTCAGCAGAAAAGGATGGAAAGAGGGAAGTTTATAGCCCCATGACTCTGTGTTGTGGTGAAAGAGGCAGTCATGTGTCTTTTCACTAACTGTGTGAATGGCTGATACAGCTGGAACAGCTTCTGGAGGGCTTTCCACAACATCCCCTCATCTTTCTTTCTGTGTGCTTGCATTAGAGGTTGGTGGAAGCAGCAGAAGATGCAGATCTGAACCACGAGTACAACTCCTCACTGGAGGTAAGTTTATCCTGGTCAGTGACAAAATATGACGTGCATCTTCAGAGACCTAGCCAAAAGGCAGGCCTAGCAGCACCCAGTCACCTCGGGTTCCTGGACATGTTAGGAGTTTCCTTGTCTTCAGGACACTCAACTTGCCTAGAAACTAGTGTGAGTAAGAGACTCCCTTGGCATATCCCAAACCTAGTAACACCAAGTTGATTAGTCCCTTTGGCTCTGTGAGGAAGGATTTGTGAAGACATTGGGTTACATGATGTTATTGGTGTTACATGATGGTATTAGCATTATGTTTACTGCACACCAACGTTGTCATTATGTGACGCATTAGTGCAAATTAGCTGGCATTTTGTGGGTTACTTAACTGGAAAATGAGCTAAAAATTGATTGTGTATGAGCAATGAGGAGGATGCCATTACAAATACCCACAGCAAACCATTAATCCCAAATGAGCCGAGTTTCTCACCATCTTTCTCAATAGCTCCCATCACCTTTTCTCTACCCTTTAGACACCCACTTGTCAGGACTTCCCATTAGGTGAAAGCTTGGTACTGTCCAAGCAATTTGGATAATTGGCTTTCTGTTAATAACTGTTTGTTGTAGCCAAGCTATGGGATTATGGCTGGTGAAGGGAACTGGAGTGAAAACTCTGAAGTCCACTGTCCACAGTACAAGCACAGAGTGCTTAGCAGAAGTACAGGCTACTCCTGCAAGTATACTTCTCCATTCTGGGAAAGGGTGGGAATGAAAATGTTACTTGAAATCAAGCTAGCTACCAATTTCACCTCTCCTACCTCTTTATTAAAGTATCACATTCAGTCATTCTAGTTGGGTCAGCTGCATTCACGGTAAGGGTTATGGGTGAGTTGAGGTGCATGAGTCTATCCGTACCCCCTGAGTATTGTTAGTGCTTGAACAAAAAATCTTTAAATAACCTCTGCCCTCAGATAAAGTCAACAAAAACATCTTAAAAACATCTGTTATCCAAGGGTGAAGAGTGTCCTGAAGATACTAAAGTGACTGTAGATGCTAGATCCCCATTGGCCTTCACAGGGGGAAAAGTGCGTTGTCTTTGAGCACCTTCTGCTCTATCCTTTGCTCTTTATGTGTGCCTGCTGCTTGGAGTGACAGAGTGAGGGGATAATCCTGGCTGGATGTACATCAGGAGTTAACTCCAGTAAATGACAGCTGAAAAGACAGAGCAAGTAAGGTCAGCATTGGCATGCTCTGTAGCCAACCTGGGAGCCAGATCCGGAGAGGCATTCCACCTCTCTGGCTAGTCACTTAAATACTTCTGAAGGACCACAGGAGTCTGCCACTGTTTCCCTTTGCTCTCAGGTGGCTCTTCTGCTGTCGGTTATGACCATGCTTTCAGTCATGTGGGCACCTGACAATAAGAAAGTGGGCAGAAACCTTCATTTGGGCAGCTTGACACTTTTCAGTTGGTAATGGCCCTTGTTTGCTGCTACTCTTGATCCTATTTGAAGCCTAAATTCTCCACATATCCCTTTTTTATGTTTTAAAGAGTGGGGTTTTTTCAGGCAGTAGTGGTAATAGTCTGTCTTATTGTCTCTTGTTGCCTTTCTCTTTTCCATTGTCTTCATCAACAGTTTGATTACTATAACTCTCTCCTGATTAATGAGAAGGATGAAAATGACAATTATGTGGAGCTTGGAGATGAATTCATTTTGGAGCCAAATGAGCATTTCAATAACTTGCTGGTGAACACAACATACAGTGATATCCAGCTCCCCACCAACGTCTACAACAAAGGTAATGGCCTCTGCTGGCCTCTACTTTCTCACTACTAGTAGGTTGTGGTGGAAACTACCAGTAATAATACTGAAAGAAAGGATGGAAATAGAAAAAAAACAACTGACGGAAAACAAAACAGGACTGGAAAGATACTGTCCTAAGGCATGGTCATGTCTGTGCTGTAGTCTGTCACTGTGACAGGCTTAGGTATAATCTGCTCTTGGAAGACCTCTAATGATGGACGGTCCTCCATCTTAAGCAGGCAGTATAGTCTTCTAGGGTTCATCTACCCAACCAAAGATGCTGTGAAACAAACTGTGACGTGAATTTATTGGCAATTGTTACTCTGTACAAAGGGTCAGATCTATCAAGGTCTTTGGGTGTCAAGGATCTCATTGATTTCAGCTCAGAATTTAGACCCTAAGTACTTTTGTGTCATGAGGCACTAACAACTCACAGGGACACTCTTAATTCCCAGTAAGCATATCCATAGGGGACTGGAGGTAATTCACAACTCCTACTGGGACATGACTGTTCTGGGCTATCTTCTGTTCTCAGCAAGCCTTTGGCACTTGGGCAGCTGCAGGAGCCCAGGGAGGCACCAAGGCTCACATGGCCTCATCTGTGCCCGGGCTATGTCCTCTCCCCCTGCACGTTCACAACACTCCAACTACACACCAGGCACCAGTCCATCTCCAGCACACTGCCAAATCTGCCGGCTAAGACACCAGTTGTTATTGTCCTAAGTTTACTGCTCTTTTTGGCCAACATTCGAAGCTGCCTGACCTGGCTCCTTCCCTGCCTCCCCATCAGCTCTTCCCCTTGCATACACCTTGGCAAGAAAAAAAAAAGTGCCGTTACTTATCTCATAGATAGAGCTCATTTACAATCTTCAGGACCAGATGAGGCAGGTGCTGGTGACTGTGCTCACAACTGCTACTTTATTTAGAGGGACAATAGAGGGAGTTCCATTTCTCCCATGATTTGAAATTAATTCCATCTGGTCTGACAGCCCCAGATACTAAAATCTTGCTCGCAACAGAGCCACCAGCAGAGCTGTCTGTGTAGCTACAGCAGAGCTACACAAAGTAGGCTGCTGCCTACATACAGCTGCATACAGAAAGAAGTGGCCAAATGGCCACTGTCAGAGACAGCAGAGATCCACCTAGCTAGCTGATTTCTTGCCTGTACAGCTTGACACAAACCATCCAGCTGCTCTGGCTATGGCTGGAGGATGAGCAGGAGATGGAGAAGGAGGGCTGCTTCCATGCCTGGGGCTCCTCCTAGGCGCAGTGCCTGGCAGCACTCACTCCCTCTCTTGCAAACAGCAGCAAGCCTGGCTCTCCACAGCTCTTCTGGCTCCCTTCCTGCATGAGTTACTTTGGTCTCATCACTGGGGAGTCACAGTTCAATTTTTCCCCTATTTTGACCAAAATCGCCTTTAGTAAAGTGACTAAACAGGAAGTGGTAGGTCAAAGCCCCATCCCTTTCAACATTAATATAGTTAATCCTACAATGACCAGTTTCTTATAATTCCCTGTTTCTATTGCTGCTGTTCTGTTTGGTCTCCTGAGGCAATGAGTCAACACAGACACTAAATATACACTGCCTCTTACGAGTTCTTGCAAGTCTGCAACTTCCTATTGATTCTGATGAGATCGGGGCAAGGGAGGACAGCTCAGGCTTTGAGAAAGAAAGAGCAGGCAAGGAAGAAAATAAAGAATTGTTGGGGAAAAGAGGAGAGAGAGAGAAATGGCATGTAAATCCTAGAGCTCCTCTGTCTTAGGTAATCACATCTAGCAAAAATTTAAACACTCTTTGCAGAAAAGCTGCTCCACTTAGTGGTGCATCAGGCAGTTGCCTTACGACAGCCACACATCCCCTCTTAGGCAGCAGCTGAGTCCTGTTTGTGTGGTGTGCCAGTTGTGCTTGGCACCGTGCTGGTTTTCCTGAGTCTCTTGGAGCCCTCTTCCAACCAGATATAACACCCAAAGACAGACAAGGCTGGAAAGAGAAATGGGCATAATAGCGTACGACCAAGCTGAGATCATCTGTAGTGGCCAGTGGTGACCTGCCCTCCAGGATTTACTTGAATGATGCATCCAATTCCCTGTCCAATGTCAAAGCTTTGGACAAAGCTGCAATCTTCCTGTGGTTGCCTTTGTTCCCATCTTCCTCCTCCACTGGGGTGGTGGGTGTCCTCCCCTCTTTTGCACACTTTTTTGCCCACTTTCTATTCTTTCCCCCGCAGACCCTGACATCCTGAATGGCGTTTACATGTCAGAAGCCTTGAATCCTATTTTTGTGGACAACTTTGAAAGGGATCCCACACTGACCTGGCAGTATTTTGGCAGCTCTACTGGATTCTTCAGGCTCTACCCAGGTAAGAGAAGAGATTGGCTTCGCTCTTTCAGCACAACACAATAGTCTTGCAGGACAGGGTCCATGCCATGGAAGAGCCCAATCTGGGAAGGTTGAAGGCAGCGTGGCTCCATAAGGGCAGGGTACAGGGAGCAAAATAGTGCATGGGCTGCTGCCAATTAGGCTGAACGAACAGTGTCCACGGCAGGCATAAATCCCTTTTTCCCCAGTGGACCAGCCCCCCAGGCATGTTGCCCTTGCAACCCCAGAAGAGTCTACTTTTAGGTGTGTGCCTCAGGCAGGCTGCCCTCCAAAAAGCTCACAAAAGACCAAGACAGGACCTGCAAATCTCACAGGCAGGGTGTGGAGGCTGCACGAGGGTTCCCTGCCTCGTGCTCCCCTGTGGTTTTAATGGTGGCCACAGCCTCTCTCCACCTCTGAGGCCACATGTGGCAGATGCGGCTGGTCAGCCTGACTTGTTATCCACTTGCCAGCTGCAAGCAGCATGTAAGGTCATGGCACAAGAGGGAGGCCCCGTGCCCAGAGGAACTGGTGAGATCCTTTGCAGCCGTAGCTTGCCTAGTGGCCTCTTCATCAGATGGCTGCATGGTCTTGTTCTGTGACCTGTCATGTGTTGGGGAAGGGGAAAGCAGAGATGACTGTGAACAGAGCCTTTAGCAGGGAATCTGAGACACGTCTCTGTCACTCCTGCTACCTTTTTATGCTCTCCACCACCCTTGGGGAGAAACAGATGTTGCTGAGAACTACATCAAAGTGGCAAAAAGTTCAAAGTGCAATTGCTCCCCAAATTCGAACAGACTATGCCTAGGTACATTTTACTGAGAACTGCCAAAGACCGTGCAGCTCTGCTTGTATTTCTGCAGAATGGCCACTGCTATTGCTGGCCAGACCTGCGTGCCCCCACAGGGTAGCCGGGTCTCAGCAGTGAACAGCAGAAGTGCAGGTGCCTGGGGAGCGGGGGGCAGATGCCTGCCTGTCTGTGTGTGTTGATTGCTCCTTTTGCTGCTCCCTTCAGGAATAAAGTGGTTACCAGATGAGAATGGAGTAATTTCCTTCGACTGCAGGAATCGTGGCTGGTAAGAGTTTTGGAAAGACTTGGCCAAAGCACCTTTCAGACTTCCTCTCTCCCTCTTTTCCAAGGCGACACCTTGGTGAGTTGCTGATCAGCAGTTACTGTCCCATGCTGCTCCTGCAAGAGATGAGGGGTACATAAATGAAGGCAATAGCAGGTTAGGAAGCCCTACCACCTGCCAGCGCCAGCTTTCCATATGGCATCTAACACATGCCACGTGGAAATTGCCACCGGCATATCCTTCCTCTGTCCCATCCTCCTTATAATTCTGCAGCCAGAGGGATGGGGCTGGTCAGACTCCAGAAATGCGGGGCACTCAGTCTACTCAGCACGGCTAAAGGAGGTTTTAACAATTGTCACTCTTGGCTGAATCTGCACATAGATCTGCAGCAGGCCCAGCACTTCTCACTGTGGGAAGTGAGATGCTGGGGCCAGCAGGAGAGGCAGATTGGTTGGAAGGGACCCATCAGATGCCTAGCCTGACTCTGCTGGATAGCTGTGCTTGTGGTACATGTTATGCTGCAGTTAGCATTGTGTGACAGCAGTACGCCCAGCGTGCCTCCTCCCTGTACGCTCACTCTTTTCCTTGTATCCTTCTTTATAAAAAGGTACATCCAAGCGGCCACCTCTCCCAAGGACATTGTCATTGTTGTGGACGTCAGTGGGAGCATGAAGGGCCTGCGGATGACCATTGCCAAACACACCATCATCACCATTTTAGATACTCTGGGAGAAAATGACTTTGTCAACATCATTGCCGTAAGTATGACCCATTTCCAGTGCTGAGTTGTCTTCCTTGTACCTCATACCAGCTCTTCAGTCCCCTTAGCAAACTACAGGCATTACAGTGGCATAACTACAACACTTAGTACCATGTTGGATGGGGGATTAAAACTAATTACCCTTGGGAAGTTAGCTTTGTGTGGTCAGCAGGGTGGCTGCTAAGTCATCTGACTCCCCTCTATGGAGGATGTCAGCTGCATCCTTTTGCTTGCTTAGGGATGTGAGTGCAACAGATAAAAGTGCTGTAGAGAAACACCTGACTAACAGGGACCTGAGCTAATAAATTTGCATAGCATAGCACAATACTGTGTTTGGGTCCAGTACCAGTATAATCCTCAGGATAATGTTTCCAGGTGAGAAAATTACCACCATATGCCTTTTTGTGCACCAGCATACTGCAAGGCTGCAATCCAATTCAGAGTCAATATGCACAAGCCTGCATGGAGTTTGGTCAAGTTGCCTCGGTGTTACTCTCTCCCTTTTTAAGCTCTGGCCAGGATGAGGATGGGCTGGTTACCCACAGAGAACCAGCACCACTAACCACAGAAAGCAAAACTTTTCCATGATCCACGCCAAGACTGGGGGGAGTTGGTGCCAGGTTAAATGCCTTTAAATGGCTGCTCACCTCCTAATTTTCAAAGCTAATTCAAGGGCCATGTCTTCCCCCAGGCTCCTTTCTATAAAAGTTTGCTAGGGCATGGTCACTGAGATATAAAGTCTACTTTTTGTTGGTAGCCTCTTATTGTGTAAGATAGTTAGAAAGTCCAGTGGTGACAGCTCTGTCTTTATATGGCTGGAAAATTGTTGGCAGAAAATGAAGGGAAGTCATTAAGGAGTTGGAAATATCATCTGTTCTTCAAAAACAAGCCCAGAAAGAGCATATAATATATATTCCTTTACTCACACTAAAAACTTACTGGCTCAGACACATTACAGCCTGACCTAAGCTCCTATTGATCACCTGAGCATCACTGGCCTCTTAGCCATGATGCTCTTCTGAACCTTGCAGGACAAGGTTTTACACTGGCATGTTTTACCTCACATATGTATCAGGCTAGAAGCATACGCCCCACTAATTATCACAATTTGGTGCATGTGTGGTAATGTGATATGTTATCGTTCAGCCGTGAGCCAGAGGCATCAGACATTCAGCTACAAAACCACTTGCAAGGTTCATGTGGTGACTGGGGACTCACAAAGTCTCCAGCAGTCAAAAATACGTGTAAATAGTGCTAGAAGCAAGGCCAGGGCACAAGTTAGAGTGTAGAGAAAATCTCTAGAGTGTGAGTGAGAAAAGAAGTAACTTTGTATGTGTAGATATGCCCAGATAGAACTCAGCAAAACATCATAATTAACTCATTATTCAAACAAATATGAGATTTATCAAAATTATAATTTGCCATGATTGCTACAAACCATTCTTAAGGCAAATATGTATAAAATGGCATAATGCTCCACACTGTTTTCTGAACATACACCTAAGACGTAAACCTATTTTATGAATTTTCTCCCATTACAAACCCTTTCTTTTCATTTTCTCTTTGCAGTACAATGATTATGTTCATTTTATTGAACCCTGTTTTAAGGGCATCTTGGTCCAAGCAGACAGAGATAACAGAGAGGTGAGTACCAGGCTCCTATCCATGTTATTCAGGTAGCTCTCTTAATGTAAGAAGTACGTGGTGTTAAAATGCTGTGACTTGAAACTCCAACGACAAGAAACAACCATCTCCCAGAAGCATGTGGGTTTGCATTCCAGAAACAAGCACCAGTTCAGTGGTGTGTGCTGGCTCCATGGTTCACCTTTGCTTACACGAAGCCACTGTAACACAGGGTCAGTTGGTTAGTTAAACAGCAGCAACCAGCTTCCCTGTGTCACAACAGACTTGGCACCACCGCTGCCAGAGCACAAGTGGACCAAGCCCAGACTGCTGTGGAAAAACAGCGTGCAGAGGGCAAAGGTTCTCCATCTTTGAAACCCCATATCCTCAGCCCTCAGAAAGGAGAAAAAACAGCCTTTTACTGGTGAATATGTTCTCAGCCTGGCCTGATCCTTCACCAAGGTGGACTGCCAGCAAGCTTTCTCTGATGAGGAGTTTTGCCATTTTGATCCAGGAGGTCTCAGCAGCCCTGAGGTGGTCAGCCTGTGGCCGGCTGCTCCACCACCCTCTGGGCTGACTTGTATTTTTAGTTCTTCTTACTGGTTTTTTTTTCTTCCTTTTTCTCTCTATATTAATACCACAGAGGCAGCACACCTCTCCATGTCTTTCACAACCATATTTCTGTCCAAATTTCTTTCCCAGCTTAGCCCCGAGTCACAGAGTACAAGTCCAGAGAGTGATGTCTCCTGCAGTGTTTCCCCGAAGGATCCCCAAGCCTTTTGGACACTATCTTGCAGAGAGCACTCTCTGGGGGTTTCATTTACAACCAGATTAATGCCTCTTAAGTAGTAGACAAGCATTCAATTTTTTTTTCCCCAATCCCATTGCTCTTGCATGCACAGGAATTTTTTTTTTCCTGAAGGGGTGGATAAGGGAAAGTCCAATTTCTAACAGTTTTGTCCTTTGCATGATGTTTCATGGACTGCCAATGTTTCACAGCCCACAGGCTGAGAAATGCAGTCCTGCTGTGGCTGCGTGGGCAAAGGTGAAACATGATGGCACTGCCAGTGGAGCAGCCACTTGACTTTCCCACCTCCACCCATCATGGTGCTGCACTACCCTGCCAGCAGTGGTGGGGGATCAGAAGTCCAATGGCACAGACTTTTCCAGGTTAGCCTTTCCTCCCCTGATCGAAGACAGGACCCTGCCTGCAACTCACTGCTGCCTTTTTCCCCCTCTTCTTGCCAGCACTTCAAGCAGCTAGTGGACGAACTGCAGGCAAAAGGAGTGGGGACTGTGAACAAGGCTTTGACAGAGTCCTTCAAAATCCTGAGGGAGGTAAGAGAGTCGGTGCTGATGCTTGCATCAGGCACAAGTGTCCTTGCCTGCCCCTATTCTCCCCTCTACATCTAATGACTTATCAAATACCTCATGGTGCTGCAGGGGGGAGGTGGTATGAGCTGATCTCACAGGCCCCAAATTTGTGACAAGCGGTGTGCAGGGGTGGCCCAGCTTTTGGGGAGGTGTTGGTTTGTGTGTGATGCCCCAGGACTGCCAATCCCTGCCCAGGAAGGATCAGGAGCTGACAAGGCTGTGGCCTCATGACTGGTGGGTTTGTTTTTTTTTTAACAAGCCCACAACTGAGCATTGCCCAGGCACCTTGGTTAGAGATGGTGGCAATAAAATGTAACTGATCAGCTGAGGGCAACAATTCTGGTCATAAGTAATGTTACCAGTAAGCCTTGGCAAGTAGATGATGATGAAGACATGAAAGATTATTCTCAGGCTTCAGATTTATTTCAATGTCATTTTGCTGAGTATCAGTGCTTGAGGAAGAAATCACAGGTACAGGAGAATTAATCAGTCAGTCCGATCATGTCCTGTGATAAGAATCATAAATGATTCATAGCTTTATATGAACAATTGGGACTTCAGTAGCCTGGAGGTAAACATACGACTTGACTTTGTTTCTTAAGGAAAGTTAACCAAAAAAAGGACCAAGAACCAGGAGAACATGCCCACCTCCTCATGGCACTGTGTATAGTGGGGTTGGCCTAATGATGCCGATGCCTTTGATGCTCACGAAAATATGTATGTAGTTCTATGCTAGTGGCCATAATGATGGCACTGATGTTAAAGGTAGTGTGCTAGAGGTATTGATGCCCTGGGAAGGATTATCCACTCTTACTTATATTACAAACTGAAGTTTAAGTTTGTTGGCTATTGTAATGCTGTTCCTAATTTATGCCAGTGCAAGCATGATCAGAGTTGAACCCAGGGATGGTGGTAGCTGAGCTGACTTATCAGTGGTAATAGAAGCATAATGGTTTTAATGGCAACCTGAGAAAAGTGTGGTGTAGCCTTGGCATTGCAGTAATAGGCTGGCAGCACTCCTAGTAGTAATGGTTCAACATCTTTGGGGGAAGATAGTTACTGAGATGACCAGGGAAGCAGTAATGATATAAATCGAGAACGATTACATGGACTAGATGCCTGCTAGATATTTCTCTACATGTATCCTTGCATTTTATGACAAAATTAACTTTATCTTTAAAATAAAAGATCCAGAGCCTATATAGGCCTGTGTTGTATAAATCGGAATATTTAAACGATTTTTCCACCAGAGGAAAAATGATGTCTTAATATCTAATGTAGTACTGGTTATGTACAGTGACAACAAGTTAAAGAAGCCCAATGCAGTACAATTGCAGACTCTCTCAACCAGCACAGCTTTGAAGGTCTCAGTGGAGAATAATGGAGCATAACCCTAAAGAAAGCCTGCTTGCCCCAGCTGAAATAGCAGCCGGTCATGCCAAACACAGGCACCAAAACTCGTCTGGGTCCACTAATGAGGAGACCTCACACCTCCTTTCTGGCAGGCATGGCTCACCCACTAGACTAGGCAATCCTCAAGCCTCCAGGAGTCAGGACCTCTATAAAACCCTGCATACTTTAAGCCAGGCATGCCTAAGGGAAATAGAAGGTACATGGTGGAACAGCTGAGACAGAAAAAAAATTGTGCTCCACTGATATAGCTGGACCAAAAATACTTCCAGAGAGAGAGTGACGTCCATGCATCCCAGTGGAGTAACATAACTCCACTGCAGTAATAGAGAAAAAACTATTTGGCAGGTAGAGAAAATATTTTTTCCTCTCCATTTGGCATTAAAAATGCAGTCAACTGTTTAAGTAGTAATCACTTATCTTGATCCTTGTTGATTCTCCCTTAACTAATGAGCTCAAAACAGCTCTGAGATTGCTCTTAGACAGTACAGCACCCAGTGGTGATAAAACCTTCTGATGTTATTCACTCGCAAGGTGAGGCGCTGCTTCCCTCATGCCTTTTGTTATCGCCTCAGATCTGGAGAGAGGGCAACTGACTCGGGCATTTGAGCATTTTTCCTTTGAGCATCTGTAGATGAGGAAAGGTGGCTGTTGTCTCAGTGACTGCTGGTGTGATGCTTCTCTGCATCTTGGAAACTGCTGTCCATGAAACAGGAGTTCAGAAACAGTAACTTCGTTGTCAAAGAAAGGTGTGAAACAGACCTATGTATCTCTTCCACCCAGCTTTCCTTTCCCAGTAACACTGGTCGCAGCTTTCTTGCAGAGTGTCGTTCACTGTAGTGGACCATGATTGCCTCCTCTTTAGCAAAATGGGACCTCAGTCCAAGGTCATTGAAGCCATCAGCTGGGAGCCTTGTTCACAGCCAGCTGTGGGGTGGCTGCATGTGCAGCAGGAGGCCTGCAGGACCTCCTGCAAGTCACTTTGCAGCTTCATCCCAGGATTTCTGTCTGCCTGGTGACATTCAGAAAAGACAGAGATTGTGTTTCAGTGTACACACAACAGCAACAGAGGCTGCAAATACATAGGCATGCAAGTGTAGAAACACGCCTGTTGTCCTGCAGCTGCCTTCCCCAAACTGTAGCTTTCCTGGTAAGGGCTTATCTAGAGAGTACCTTGATATCACCAGCTGGAGGACCCCAGGCCCTGCAAGTACCACAGCTTAAGGCAAAAGGGTACCACCTATCAAGTGCTCCTATGCTTTAAGGACTCTAAAATCTTCTCTTAGAGCTTCTTAGATCTGTATCAGTAATAGAGGAGGAAAAGGGTTTCTATCAGTGTGCCCTGAAACAAATCTGTGCTGCTGCAGTCATGCAGATGGGAGAAGGGGGAACTTTGGTGGAATTGGCCACCCCTTTCCCATCAGACAAAATTCACATTCTCAGCTTGTAATCATAGCCATTCCTCACAGACTGTCCTGTTATTGTTCACAGGAGCATATGCAAGAGAATGAAAATGAAAATTGCTACATCATGCTGATGAAACAGGCTTTGCTGATTACAATAGACAACCAGTAATAATCTCTGTAATGAAAGTGGCTGCAAAATTTCCCTGGTAATTTTCCTCAGTCCAATTGCTTGTAGAATTAATAGCCCAGTAGAGACCTACTCAACGAGGTATGAGTAGCAGAGACAGGTTGAAGAAGAGCACGATCTCTCACTGTCTTTGTTTTCCTCCATTATGTTCTGGGGTAGACAGGGCATATTTTAATCCATGACGCAATTTGCAGAACAGCTTCAGGAGAACAGTTAGCCAGAGACTCCCCTGCCCCTCTCTGCCATGCTCAATAAACCACTTAAACTCTCTATTTCAATTTAGCCACACATCAAGTGGTTTCAATAAAATATGTGTCCCAGGGAAACCATGGTCTTAAGCATACATTTATAAAGTGCTTCAAAATTCTCAGGTCTCAAGTGCCACCTTTTGAGCTCCTTTCTTGTTTATCAAGTTTTAGTCTATCTCACTGCTATCTTCTCTTCTTTGTTTCAACAAGCTTGGCATGTCTTGTCCTCTCGCCCTTTTCCTGCAGGATTTATATTCCTTTGTTCTGACTGCTGCTCTGCTCAAGGCTGCTTCCAGGCTGCCTGCCTTCCCTGAAACACCATCCTCCCAACAGTATGTAAGTGCTGCAGCTGAGAGCTATCAAGTGCTAAGCAGAGCAGAATAATTACCTTCCTTGTTTTACACACCATAGTCCTCTTAACACAATGTAAAACAGCAGCTACATTTCTTCAGACTTTGTCACATTGTTAATTCCTATCCAGCTGATCTGCCTCTGTGGTATTCCTCTCCAGCCAGCATTCAGCCTCCTGTTTGGTATTTGAGCCTCTGACTATCCTTTCTAATGTACATCAATTGTAAAGATATTTATATATTTTTATAAACTTGCCAAATATGTGTGTGTACGTGTATATGTATGCAAACACACACCCCTAATCCTAAAAGAGTCATATATATATTCATAGATTTGTTATATATGAATCTTTTAAGATTAAACAGTACAAAATCTGTGACTTTTATGGGTCCTCCTTTCTCAGGATCTGCTCAGAGTAAGTATTTTGAAAGCTGATGTTTTTCTGATGCTGCTGAGGAAAAGAAACCCCAAGTTCTGCTCTCTGAGGCCACCTTGGAAAGAAGTTTCCTCTTAAAACCAAACTGGATTAATGGTGCCTTGACTCACTGCTGAACTCAGAAATTACATAAATTTTGAGGTTAATTATGAGTAGTCACTCCAAAATAGCTATAGGTGGAAAAATAATGGTGAAACTTGTAACAAACTGGATTTCAGATGTAATTTCTGTGTGACTTGAGAAAACTGGTGTCATAAAAAGAATGAACCCATCTGCTGATGTGAGTAATCAAAGGAGTTTGTGGCCTTTTACACCCAACCTGTGTGGGGAAGCATTTCACTTGCACACTCACGAGAGGACTGTGTTATTAATTTTTCTAGCAGTGTGCTAAATGTTTAAGGACATCTTACCCATCTAGTTTCCTCCCTTCTTGTAACACATGTTTTCTGTTGATTTCCTCTTTGTGATCTCATATAGTCCCAGTCAGGTCTCAGCCCATGAGGCAAGTAGTTCAGCAACACCTTCTGCAATCCTTTCCCTTCCTGCTGAGCACAGATTATTCTAATGCTTTCAATTAACTTTTTCTTTAACCCTACCACTTTGTGACCCTGCCTGTAATTCATTCATTCTTTTCTTTGTTTCTTATCACTTCAGTGTGTACCCAGCCATTACAATATTGTCCTTTTGATGATGAAGTATGGAGGCTATAAAGCATCTCTGTCTGACGATTTCCCTCTGGTTTTTATCATCTGGCAACATATTCTTTTTACTCGCTTTCTTGTTACTTCTCTGAAGGTTTATAAATCTTTTCTTGACTCCACTTGCATTTTTATGGACCTGGATTCTGCAGCAAATTTGTCAGGATATGCAAAGCTCAGGATTTCCTGGTTTTAGCAGTTTATGCCATTTTGTTTGATGCCATCTCTCTCTCATTTCTTTACTGGCTTTCTGTTTCCTTCTCTACTGCTAATTTTCTACCCATGAGACACTTTCCACTAAGTTTGAATTTTCAGTAATTCTGGGGGCCACTCTGGAGGCAGGTCTGCATAAGAATGGGGTAGGAGGAGACTGAGAGGGGCTGCTCAGTCATCTGGCCAGATGTGTATATTATCAGCATGCGTGTCTGTGCATCACTGAGCTATGTTGATGTTCCTATTGCTTCACTAGTAACTCTGTGCTAGGCTATAACTGCAAAGTAAATGGCAATGAGCAAACAAGGGAGTACAAGAGACTATGACCCTGAATTAATTAGAGCACACCTGTTACTCCTGGCAACATCACCGAAGTTATACAGGAGAATATGTAGCTCCGTGCCTCATTCACCAACTGCAGCTCTAGCCCGCATCTCTTCAGACATCTGTTTTGTGGACATCTTGTTCCTCATCTCCCCTTCTTTCATGTTCCTGAGACTTCAGTCAGAGCAGGGAATTATGCTCAGAGCTTGATGTGAATGCTGTCAGATCATTTGCTACAGCTGCAGCCAGCCACAAAAGGACCTAAAAATCAGGGATTACCTCTTGTTCATTTGTTTTCTAAATCTGTCTTTTTAATCTCTATTTCTATAACACTGATGATCTCATTTTCCCTGTTGAAAATATCATCTACTCTTGTAATTAGGAGATTGCTGGTTCTGATACAGCATCTAATTTCTCAGTATTATGAGGTCTGAAGTAAGCTACATGAAGAGATGTCTTAAGTAGTTTGATGAAATGGTGGGTGACCTTAATTAAGTGTTAATTTAATAATCATCTAAACAAAATGTTGTAGATTGCAACAGTCTGGAATAATCTGCTTTCATAACTACAAGGTTCACATATCTGTGATCTGAACCTCAACCTGACAGCATCTCCCACACCATTGTAACCCTATGCCTCCCTAACGGACACTCACGCTAGCCGTTCTCTCTGCTAATCTGCACGCAGTTGATCTCTGTCCAAGGAATAGCTCACTTGGTACTCCTTGTCATTTTCCTACCTGATGGTCTGTAGCAGAATCCCATGTGGCTGTCAACTGCTTTTGCCCTTTTGTTTGCACCTAAGGACACCCTGCGCTTGTTCCTGTTGTGCCCCCTCAGCCTTTGCCCTGAGTCTCCTTGCTGAGCAGGGGGCATGTGTTCTCTGACCCCTCCTGGAGCTCTAATTACCCTATAGCTGGCAATGATGGGTTTTTTTCCATGGTACAAGGTATAGGAGCTTTTTGGACCATTGGAAATGTCAGACCTCGGGGACTCCCTAGAGAAAGACGTGGGAGATCCCCACTGCTGGGTTGGCATGACCACAGCCGCAGAGGTACAGTGTATCTCCCCTCTGAATGTGCTGCTCTGGTGATATGAAAGAGGAGGAGCACACCCAACTACCTCATCCTGATTCAGTCATTCACATGGATGTTTTGCCTGAGAACAGCTAGTTAGAAATGACCCTGTTACACCACCTTTCTCTCTCATGATCATCTGTACTGATTCTGGTCAGTGATACAAGTAATGGGACTATCAAGAAACAGGGAGATATGGGTTCATATGTGTGGTCATTCTTCAGAAGCTGTTGAATCCATGCTTACTGCAGTAGAGTAACAGGTACTTCCATGATACTAAGACTAACGTTGAAGGAGGCAGGACTGATAACATAAATGGTGGTGAAAGGAGACGTTATAGTGATATTAGCACTGAACCTGGTAATTTCATAATAAGGGACAATCATAGAGGTAATTGTAGGAGTGGTAAAATATCTGGGGAAATCTGGACTTGGAGTTAGCTTCCACGTATTGATGGTCATGATGTTAATCTGTAGTGGAACCACAGCACCATCCGTGTTGCTAAAGACGTTTGCCTTCTGTCCTAACATAGCATTACCAAACCAGAAGGAACTTGTGAATTGAACCCTAAAACATCTAAAAAGACCCAGTTCATACCCTGTGCTCTTGTTCTCCCATCCAGTGCTTGCTTTTATTTTACGCAATTAGTCTTGCCACTTGGATACCTTTTTCCTCATTTTTTAAGATATAACTATCCTCTTCAGTTTAAAATTGCTGCTGTGTTTGATATAATCTTAGTCACCCTTCAATTAGTCTCTTGTATGCTCTCCATCTCGTACCATTGCCTCCCATTAATCTCTTGTGCAGAGTTGTCATATCCTCCTCTTTCCATATTTTTCACTCTGCATCAGTTTCTGTATACCCCTTGGTTGACTAGACTTTTCTTTGCTCAGAGCGTAGAAGCAGCGAGATGCTGTGCAAGAAGTGCATACTGACACTGAGCTGAGAACCGCAGCAAAGTAGCTGCTCATTTTTGTGCCTTGACGTCCTCTGCTACCTCTTGTGACTGCTAATTCAACACCTCAGTTGGTGCTGTGTAAGGCACTTGGTTCTCTAGAGCCCGTGTACCTGAGGGCATGCGAAGCAAATGTCTCTGCATGCAGAAGCACTGGATGAGGAGCATTTGAAGGCTGGTCTGCCTGGCTGAACAGGCAGGATCTGGCTTGTCAGTAAGAGCAAACCTGTTCAACACCTCTCCGTGTGTCCTTGGGAGCACATCAACATTTGTACCAGAGTCCCAGAGTGCTTCCGCTCTACCTTAAATATCACTTTATGCACAGATAACAGGTCATCTGTCATTACAGTGTATGGCCTACATGGCACATTCATAACCTATTTTAGCTCTGATGGCAGTAGCCTTCTTTTCATGTGCTCCTGCCCTTCTCTGCTATTTTTTTGGCAGATTGATGGATTTACCCTGAAATAATGAGTCTGATTTCCCCCTCCTCTCACATTTTCTGCCATAAAAAGTGACAGTTATTGCTGTCAAATCCAAATTGCAGTGTTTATGGTCAGTCTATAGTTGTTTTGCATAAACGAATGTGACTGCAAGATGTGAGGCAGCAGGGAATCACACCCTTCCTCCACAGCACTTATTTTCTCCTTATTATTTTACTTCTTTAAAGCCTCCTGTGTCTACATGTGCTAGGCAGGGCTATATAAATAAAAAAAATTATAAGCAGCCTACAAACACAATCTTTATTTAAGCAGAACTCTTTCTAAGCACAGTGTGAGGTTTGCAAGAGGAAGTCAGGATCCGGCCCACCATGAATAAGTATGCTGCAATTACACAGACATGGCCTGTGCTGAGATAACTAATGCTGTTCCTCTCTGTTTGTAGTTCAGAGATGCCGGTCAAGGAGGCTTGTGTAACCAAGCTATCATGCTGATCACAGACGGAGCAGTGGAGGATTATGAAGCTGTGTTTGAAAAATACAACTGGCCAGATCGGAAGGTTTGTCTGGGAAGTGATAAATAGAAAGGGTGAGGAAAGGTGCTATCCTGCTATGGTGGGAATAGAAGAGCGTGAGCCGGGATGTCGGGCAGAGCTGAGCATTCACGTCCTCCAAAATGCGTGCATCCAGCTGTAAACACAAGACAAAGCAGCCAGCCAGGAACCTGCTGTGGTGATTTTAGAGGATCGCAGATGGATGTCTGTAGGTCAATGAATTTTATTTTTTTTCCATATGCTTTGTTTTCTAAAGGTGTGGGCGATCAAAACATTCTTCTGATAAAATGATACAGACTGAGCCGAGTATTTTAAAATAAAAATTAAAAAAAAAAACCCACAACTTTTGTAAAGAATTTTAATCCCATCCAGGACTGTTTATATTGGTCCTGTTTGGGAAAGGTTTGGCTATAACCAGTTCTTACGGTGGGCAGGGGAATGGCCCAGACAACCTCTCTAGGTGCCTTCCAGCCCTGTTTACTTTGGGGGCTGTGATTACAGGCTTGTACTAGCAGAGCAGACTGTGAAAGTGGAATAGACCATGGCTCATCCTAAACCCTCCTGATTTATTTGTTTACCTCATCCCAGCTAGCAGCAATGCACAAAGGGAGCGAAGCAGCCTACTGAGAGACCAGAGCATGGGGCTGTTAAAGCAGTTTATTTCAGGATTGACTCTTTTGTTATTGGTCAAACACAAGAGAAATGGTGAAGCTTTCTCTAAATGATTCATGCGGCCAGCTGTTCCCCTGGGTAAAGGATTCCTGTGAGCTATAAACCTCTCCGCATGTGGTTGCTGAGTGCCTGGCAGACCTGCTATCATAAAATCAAACAGAATTTGCACTTCTGCCTTGTTATTCACATGATCCCGGGTGCTACTTGGCTTTCTGGGCTTATTGTAATTGGAAATTAAGTTCCAGTCCACAAATGCAAAACCAATGGAGCAAGATGCTCCTGTCTCTGTGTGAAGGCAGAGCTATTGCCACAAATAGGCATTCACACCAGTGTACAACAGGATGCCAAACCTCGGCCATTTGAATTTGGTAGCATATTACAGCCTAATTCTTCTATCTTTGCATTCTTGATCCCAGGTCCGGGTTTTCACTTACCTCATTGGACGGGAGGTCACTTTTGCCCCCAATGTGAAATGGATCGCCTGCAACAACAAAGGTGCTGTATGGGAATGATTCCCCAACCCCCATCACACATGTCACGTGGACTGCAGCCATGGGGCCCTGGACCTCTTTAAGGCTTACCTACTGCAGCTGGGGCCCATGAGCCCTTGGTTGGAAAACAGCCTAAGGAAAAAGCAGACCCTGCTAGTCCACGAAGTGTTCCTGTGTCCAACTAACACAACTCCATCGTGCTGAGCCACCACATTTTCCTGTCACGGTGCCAAGGGACACTATGACCGAGATTCATGCTGGCTGTAGTCCACCTAAGTCCCTGTGCTTATTGTGTCCCAGTTGCTGGCTTTTGACAATCTGTCTAAAACTCTGTCAGAAAGCCTGACATCTTTGGGCTGAGATGTAAAACGAACATCTCTTCTTTAAAGATTTTACAGCATTTTTCACAAGGTCTGCAGGTTAACCCCTATATCCCGTCCAAATTCTTTGTGTGCCAGTGGTTTCAGTGAGGTACCAGGATAGCTTGTTAATCCCACCCCAAAACCAATATTCTGTCTAGCTGGCATGAAATGGCATGAATGGGAAAATCCATTCAGAATAGGTGAGCCACCTCTATGCATTTGGGGCCAGTTAAAAAGTCCAGTTAGTCCTATCAGAGTCTGCAAGGGTAAAGGAAGAAAAGAAAAAAACAAAAGTCTTCCCTGCTTGGGCATGACCTGGCCTCAGTGTGCCTGGAGACGGTCAGCAGTGCTTGCTACATCAGTATCCTGCTTAAACAGGGAAAGGAAGGGAAAACTGAAGCTGGGGGCTGACTAGCTAGGTATGTAGACTCTTTTCCTAGCTGAGCAGTGGTTCCAGCAGACTATGAAATGCATGGGTGTGTTTGCTACCAAAAATAATTGACAGAGAAGAGTTGCTGGCCTGCAGAATGTCTGTGAGCTGGGGACATTCAAGGCTTAAATGTTCATCTATTAGCAATATGAACCACACACAGCATTTCTAGTTTTTGTTAGACGAAACAAAAACCTGGATTTCAGATTGCATATTCAGCCATAAGATTAGTGACAGGGAATTCACGGTGCTGTTGGTTCACCATAAAATGTGAGAATGGATTCTCCTGAATAACCAAACAGAGAACAAAAATATGCTCTTTGCACTTGAATTCTCACTTACCAGACTTGAGCTCTGCAGAAGGCTCACTGATTTTGGTGGTTCTGTTTCAACACATTGTATAGCTCTTCTAGTCCTTGTTTTCAAGCACACTAAATCTGTTTCCACATCACAAAGTTTATCAGATCGTGAGCCCTTTCACATGGCAGTGTTTTCCAAGTGATAACAAAAGTTTTCCATCTATCTGACATACTCTGTCGTATATCAAGTACAACAAATCAGTTCCATGTGGTGAGAAGCAGGACAAGAGTCTTTATGATATTACACTGTGTTAGCATTCCTAACCAGTTAAGCAGCTGGTTTTGAGGAACTTTTGATAATTTGAAAACATTCTTCCCCTGTACTCCTTGTTGTAGTATTAGACTTATGAGTCCATCTGCAGGAACAAAGCTCTGCAAATAGGCAACTTGCACTTTTACATGCTGCTTCCAATGGATAGATGGACGTAGTTACCATCCTTGGATGTAAAGCTAGGCAGACAGAAGAGTAGAGTGCTGGAAAAAATCTGAAAAAGAAGTTGGGAGTTTGGGCTTCATATAAAATTGGGCAGGGTAAGTGGGTAGCCTGGTGGAATGCTTTGTTTGCATATGTTTGGCCTTCAGGACCAAAGGCAGCCTGACTAGTGGACAGTTTTGCCCAAGAACCAAAGCAACATTTTATATTTGCTTGGTATGATTCTGGTTATATCAAGACTCTGGTCTTGAGCATTGGTCCAGTATTTTGAGAAGAGAGCCCGTGCTTTGAAACTCCAGATGTCCACAGAAACTAGTGGATACAAGGCACATCAAGGCTCTTTCGGTAAAGAGCAGATAAACTGTCTGGGTAGATACAGTCTTTAACATCTAGTTTTCTAGCTTTGCATGGACACTCATTTAAAAATATGGAAGTCACATTAGCAGAGTGACTCACCCCTCTGTCTCTCCATGAAGGCTACTACACTCAGATCTCCACACTAGCGGATGTCCAGGAGAACGTGATGGAGTACCTGCATGTGCTCAGCCGTCCCATGGTCATCAACCACGACCATGACATTATTTGGACTGAAGCCTACATGGACAGTGCGGTAAGGACCTACAGCACAAGTCTTTAGTCAGGAAACAGTAGGCCTATGGGCCAAACTGGCAAAGGTGTCAGACACCTAGCTAGTATGTTAGGCATACAACTTGTCCCAGCTTCCCATCTAAATATCTTATGTGTATCAGAATTTAAATAAAGTCCTGAAATTTATGTAAAACCAGGAGTTGGGTGATTGATAGAAATTATTGGTCTCTGGCTCTGCTGAGACACACAATATTTCTTTTCTGTTCACTCCTGGAGTTGAGATGTGTATGCAGACTCAGGTCTGAATCTGCAGTGAACCAGGAGCCCAGCACTAATCACACAGGCATAGCATGACTTAAGCAGTGCTTCTGTGAAAGCAGGTTACCTTCTAAAGGATTATTCACAGGAAAGATTATTTACAGCTCAGGATACAGGTCACAGAGATTTATTTCCTCCAGCCCAGTAGCTAACTGCATACTGCTTGCCACTCAAAGATACAGATCTCAGTTTGGGAAGCAGGCTCACTCTTTCAGTCCTTGAGCTAGCAAGACCTAATGTCACCACAGACCTGTGCTCAGCCCTGTGGGTAAAGGACACATGGCAAAGGACCAGGCAGTCAGCACTCCCAGTGCCCCTTGCTTTGTCACAGGCCTGCCCTACAGGAAGATATTTGGATCATGAGCAGGCGCTATTACGGTGTTGTGTTGCCAAGGCAGCTTTGAAATTCAGAGGAGTAGACCACCACAGAAGGAACCTTCCCCTGCACTTCCCCAAATAGAAGACATTCCCCAATGTTCGTCTCCATCCCTTTTTACACTGCCAAAAGAGAAAGTTACAGTTCTTTTGGGGCTCATTGTGCTTTCAGGGAGATAAAGTTTTTTTCCTACACTGGACTCTGCACCCCAGAGAATTGTCTGCATAACTGTGACAGCTAGAGCTGACCAGAAGCCAGATTTCCCTCTACCAGAAACAAACCTGACGTCTCAGGACTATTTATACTATGTGAGGGGAAAAGTTTTCTAGAAATATTAAGAATGTTTCCATAGACAATCCCACTGTGGGACTGAAGTTATTGGCTCCAGTCTGGCCAGCAGCAGATTTAGGGTGTCTGCCACAGCCCTGGGGAGAACCCACAGTTTTCAGGTTCAAGATCCACAGTGAGAAACCTGAACTCTCTGAGTTGGAGTAAAAGTAGGGGTACTGAGCTTAGCTTTGTAGCAGGAAATGTGGCAGTCCAGGTCACACACGGTGGTGCTCGGTGTTGTGCTCAGAGTCAAGACCACCTGAGAAAGAAATATCTCCAAGACAGCCCCGCTTGCACCATCATGGTGCATAGATGTTATACTCAGGAGACTCTTGTGGGAAGGGACTGTCCCCCACCTCTGTGCTCTGGCTGACCCTTGAGGCTGCAGCTGTGGCACGCTAGCTCTGTGCAGGTGACATGAGGATGTCTTCTGCTGCAGGAGCTGTGCCAAGTGAGAGCTGGGGACGTGGTACTTGAGTGCGCTAAGCAAAACCTCCAGAAATGCTACTCACTACCAAGCAAGTTTATGCTATTAGCAGGCATGCCACCCCTGGCACTGGTGTATGGTGTCACACTTCCCAAGGCAGCTGCAGGGATTTGTTTGCTGCACTTGTTTTGCTGTATCTCTTTTCTTGCCTCTTGGCTTGGCTTGGCTTGCCATTCCCTTCCTCCACCCCAACCTCTCCCATCTTTGATTCATTCCTCCATTCGTGTATTCATTCATCTGTTCATCCATGTCTCTCACTAGCTGCCACAGTCTGAGGAGGTAACTGCACCCCTGTGTTTTGTGAGTGTGCTGTTTCCCTTGTGCCAGTTGGTGTGTCAGTGCCAGTGCTCACAGCCACAGCTGGCCTGTACATCTGGAGCGGGGAGGGGGCTGGGGCGGCAGGACTGAAGGAGCCCTCTTACACTGGCAAGAAGAGGAGAGGAAATGCTGGATGTACTGGGAAGCTGTGTTGTGCTGTTGGTTCAGAGTAGGTAGGGGTGTCTGTTGTGCAGTAGCTTAGTTCACCAGACCTCTTTTTCCATATGTCAGGTAAGCGTCAGAGAACTTTACTTGCTGTGTATTAGTGCAAGTGTTGCTGTGAATGGGAAGTTTCCACAAAGAATCATCCAGACCAGTAACTCAAGATACCAGGCTCAAATCTCCACCAAGTGACTGTATAGATTATTGACTGGGTCTTTTATGGCTCCCAGCATACATAGTAATGGATACAGGAGGTCATTTCTTGCCTTGCTACTTGACCAAATGAGAGATGGAAGGGGGATGCTACTGGCATCAAGGGATTATGTCCTTTTGATAGCTAGGTGTGTTTGGGAGACTCCTTTGCATGTGTCTTGCCTGTTTTACCTCCTTTCATGTATGTGTTTAGAGCACCTATCTTCTGCAGAACTGGGAGCATCTGTTACCCCATTACATGTGCATGTCCTGTATCCCCTGTAGAGATAGCTTGCTATGTTGTATCTGTTTGGATCATTATTTTGTCTCTGTTTTTTCTAAGCTTAAATGCTTGAGTAACAAGTATATATAAGCAGGCTCTGTGTGTAGTTGTGCCTTTTAAATATTTGCCTGTGGTGTTTCGCATTCGTGGTATTCATGTGTTTGCAATGTAGATGACATCTTGTTTGTGATTTCGTTCATATTTGTGTTGCTTTTCTCTATTCTGTGCTCCTTGTGTTGGTGGTTTTTACACTTGTTGCATAAGTGCTTATGTCTACACTCCCAATGCGTGGTGGGTATAAATAGTGCCACCACTTCTGCAGGTTCCTGTCTCTTCATTAAAACAGCTCTTTAATTTCTCCTGCTTCAACACATTTCACTGGCTTTCATCCCATCCTTATCACCCCACATGAGCAAGCATCCATCCCACAATCCTCTTGGATATAGAGTATTGAAAAGTGCTGCCATCTCTTTTTAGAGGGGTGTGGGAGACAAGGAGGTGGGTAATTGTAATCAACACCTGGGGTCCTTGGGAATTCCAGTGCCTTTCACTCAGATTATCTGCAGTATTGCATTTGCTAACACGTGGCTTGTTGTTCTGTGGCAGCTCTTTGCATCTCAGGCTCAAAGTCTGTTGCTCATGACAACAGTGGCTATGCCAGTCTTCAGCAAAAAGAACGAGACGGTGAGTGCAATGTGGGCTTTGCTCTCCTTCCAACCAGCAGAGGTGAAAGGATGCAGCGGACCTTTGCAGGGTTTTAAAGCCAATGGTCTCTGAAAGAAGAGCTGGCCGTTATTGACTGCGGTAGACCCCTGGCAGGATGTGCGGCTGATAATTTATCTGACAAAACGACAGTCTGTCATTTCCTCTGAATGCTATTTCTTAAAAATACTCCTTAAATATGACACTTCTCCCTGTTTTATCCCTTCCATTTTCAAACCTAGCCTAATTCACAGACCCATAAAGCTTCAAGCTGGAAGAGATCATTACCTTGTCTAGTCTGTCCATTTTATTGCAGACCTTTACATTTCATACAGACGGTCCTTCATGAGCCCAATAACCTGTGTTTGGCAAAAGTGTCATTGAAGAAAGGCATCCCGCCCTGAGCTCTCCATTGTGGTTTCTCACTCTCCATTAAAAACTGGTGTCTAAAATCCACTTCCAATTTGTCTGACCTCACCTTCCTGTCATAATGGCTTTCTCTGCTAGATTGAAAAGCCTGTACCCTTTGCTATCTTCTCCTGGGAAGCATCTTCTGCACTGCAATAATGTCAAACCTGTCTATCTTTTGATAAGATAAAAAGGTTGGACAATTTAAGTGTCTTTGATAAGGGCATTTCTTCTGGGTTTTGAAACCATTTAGACGCTCTTTTCTGTACCATTTCTAGTTTCTCAGCATCTAAAATGGTAGGTGGTACCTTACCACTGCTGTACAAGGGATAAACTCTTCATCCAGGTCCTACAAACAATTGCCTGCCTTCTCCACCTGAGGCTGGCCTTAACCTGTATTAGCACAGCACTGCAGTGGGAGCCTTCATCATGGTCCCCAGATGCTTACTAAACAACCAGTTCCCCATTTTGAGGGGATTTCCTGCATTTCTTTTTCATAGGTTAACAAACAACTTTGTATTTGTTGTTTGGTTTAGTTGGCCCAAGTTATCAACTGATCCATGCTGTTCTGCATGATTGCCTTGCCCTTGCTATTATTTACACATACTGAATGCAGGGGTTTGCCCTCAAAACTTGTTGTCATGATTTTATGTTACTTCTGAATCATAGTCCGATATGCTGACTAGTGTTGGGTAGAAAACCTCCTCTCCATAAACACTGGAGCAACTCCTTGAGACTTTTTGAGGTATGTTAGTTGGTTTTGAATTGATATATTCATACAAGCCTAGAGAGAACATGTGAGAGACTAGTGGGAAGGCAGTAATGTGTATTCAGGTAAAGAGCTACCAAAATTTTGCTTCTGAAAATGAATTCTCCTTTGTTTTTAAGCGATCTCATGGCATTCTCCTGGGTGTGGTGGGCTCTGATGTACCGCTGAGGGAGCTGTTAAAACTTGCTCCACGGTATAAGGTAAGACTGAGATAATGCAATTTGTTATTTTGCACAGCAAAGTCACTAGTCATTCTTCCATGGGCATGACTGAAAAATCATTCCTCTGTCTGTAGGAAGAACTATGAGTGTAAAGCAAGACATGTTGGATGTGGTGATATGTGGTTTCTATACAGCATGTGGGAAATCATTCACTACTGGAAGCTCTTAGGCTGCTTCAGAAACAGAAGGACTAGATGATCCAGTAGATTGGCAACAGGTCATGGAGCCTTTGCTTCTTGATGGTCACCAATCTAGGTCTCTTGGAGATGATATGATCTGACAGCCTATCTCAGAAGAATTAAAGTTCTACATCCAGTTCCCAGTGGACAAAAGCTGCCATCCCAGTTGGCAAAAAATAAACCACTTTCATTGTCAGTATTCTTAGCAGAAAAACTGAGGACTGAATGGACTACAGAGAGCCAGCTTTTCTGTCATGCCTAGAGGTTCTTGTCTCCAGATCAGCATGAAGATTTCTTGGCAGGACAGTGTACGGGAAGTTGGCTCTCACTCAGTTGTGTTGTACCTAGATAGAGTATTTGCTGTCCAGAATTGTTAGTCCAACCACTTTCCATTAGCTCTATGTTCAATATATCTAAAAAAAATATGTTCATCCACAGGAACCGCCACCACCACCTCCGCCCCGAGATGCACCGTTTAGTTTGGTTTCTGCTGTAAATTCTGTGCAGTGACCTTTTGTTCAATCAGGCTGCACACCAGGAGACAACAAGCACATCTGAGGATCATGCTGAAATCAGGCAATTTGAGCCATCATTTCAAGTTTTCAGTTTCTCTTAAATAACTATCAGGCAACTACTACCAGTTAGGCAGTTGTCCAAAATCTGATTGCTGAAGACTCACAGGACTGAAAGTGCTGTCAGAAGCTATGAATTTGTGCAGCGCTTCCAGACATGGATGCAGGGCAGACCATTCACATGCAGCTGTAGGAAATGATCCTTCTGGCAACCCAGGAACTATGAGAGGCAGGGTGCATGCACTCAGCATGAAAAAGCTAGCTGGTTTGGATCTGGGGGAACCTCCTCTAGGAGCTTCAATTTTTATACACATTTATTTTCTCTATAAGACTAATACCTTTTCCTCTTCCTCCCTCCACATCGCTCAAAGGCCATGTGATCACGATAATCTTTCTTCTGGGCCAAGGAGAGACACTGTTCTTTCCTCCAAGCAGTGCCAGGAAAGGAGGGAAAATTATTTGAAGGATTTCTTTATATCAGAGGCAGGACACGACTTCTCAGAAGCTCTTCCAACTCCAAACCAGTTTGGAAACCTAGGATCCTCAACTTGAATCCCCTGGCATATGAGTTACAAAGGACCAGTTCCAGAGTTACAGCCCTTGAGAGCTCATACATTCATGATTGTGCTTCCTGGGCTAGGAAATTTCAGCTTTAATAGGCCAACAAGGAAGTTTGCTGTAGTCCTGATCCAATGTCTTGGTTTCATTCTTGCCACACTGAGCTGAGCTGAGCTCAGTGTGCTTTGCAAGAAACTGTTTCGCTTAGAGAGAGTCTAAAGTTTGATCTGGTGATATGTGTGAAACACAGAATTAATTCCCTTCAAAAAGTCACAGACTGATTGTAAATGACTTATCTCCCCACTTCCCTAGTGTTATCCCTCCAGGATTGTCTCTACAGGAATATAAATTTGCAGCATCTTTTTGAAGATAGAAACCTTGGCCATTCTTGTTTTCCTCAAGACACCTCTTGTTTCGGCAAGCATGGGCTATCAGCAGGTTTTTAGCAACTCCGTGTTTAGCTGGAATTTGTGTTATATATGGGCTTGATCTGAGTAGTTGCTCTCTCAGAAATCTCTTGCAGATCAGGCCAGCCACTGTCTGCCCTTGTTAGATTATGCTGTTCCTTAAAAAGCATTTTAAGACTACAGGCTTCTACAATTGGCCTAGGCTAGGTCTGGTCTTGCCAGCACCAAAACATAATGCAGAGCTCCTCTGAAGATTGACCCGTTTCCAGGGAAGCCATCTGTGAGATTCATACTCGCTTGTTCATTCACTGCTGTGCATGTGTAGTGATGGGCATACAGACCTGTCACTGCTGTTTCTGTACTGTTTCCGACATTCCCCATCGTTGCCCATTTTATGTGCAGCATTGCTGTGCCTGCTGTGGACAGCTTATTCTGCCTCTGGGTGGTAATTGTCCATGAGGACAATCAGACTCTAGGAGGGCATCTTTTTCTGAATGTGTACACAAATCAACTACCTGCCCATCCTTTTGTGCATCCAAGCACAGTCAGCCTGCTCAGAGTGGCCAGAGATCCAGAGATAAATGCTTTGGGATGGACCCTATTTTCTTCTGGTCAATACCTTTAAAAGGAGAATATTTCTCAATATTGGTGGTGCCAGGGTATCAGTGCACCCATTACACAGCAGTGTTTCTAGCTAAAGCACTAATTATTCTAATGCCTTTTTCTCCAGCTGGGTGTCCACGGATACGCCTTTCTGAACACCAACAACGGCTACATCCTTTCACACCCAGACCTCCGTCCTTTGGTATGTATAGCTCTGAATTTGAGAACCTTTGTTTACTTGGAAACAGTGGCTTTCAGGGATGCTCCTGATTTCATATATTTTATTGAGCTGTGAAGGCTACCAGGCACTGATATATAGGCACCTAGGAGCATGAGAGCTAGAGAAATCAATTCCACATACATAGATGTATATATGCACACACACGTGTATGAAGTGTAAGGCACGCTGCTTGTCTGTTCTCCATAAGAGTGCATGTGAGGGCTCTATATGTGTGCACTTGCTATATTGTGGGTGCAGGTCTATTTGCGTCCATGCAAGGTTTCACTGCCAGGCTGAAGAAACAATTCCGCTCGCTCAGGCATATCTCCTACAAGAAGATTCAGCATGAGTAGGACCACAGTAATAGCTACCCAGCACCTGTAGCGTTGGAAGTCTTGGGAATCTGAGGCTAGCAGGGTCCAGTACCACAAATCTTAGCAACACGGTAAGTCAGAGACAATTTAGAGACCAGTAGGCTGCAAAAACTGTCAGGAACTTGAGGGAGTGGACACAAGGACAATGTTTCTCCCTCACAGTGCTACCTGGAGCTCCAGCCTGCACATCTGTCTGAAGACACACAGCTGGCCTCGTTACTCAGATACCCAGGCATGCAATGATTTTACACTTCATACACTTGTCTGTCGACACAAATCCACCTGCACACAGCTAAAACCGTTAGTGTGGATCCTGGCAAGGGAAAATGCCACCACAGGGCTTCACAGCAGCTGTCTTCAAAAAGGCAGCTTTGCACAGGGAGACCACAGGCACAGGTAGTTACTTCAGTATGTGAAGAGAAGGGACACATCCTAGGTAAGGGCACTGCTTTATCCTCTACCTGAAACTGGCCTCTCTTAATCTGCTTCACACCTTGTCCTTCAGCTGGAAGATTACAGGGAAATAGCTCTCCTGCATCAGTTAGCCCTAGGTGAAAAGCCTACCTTTCTGTCAGTGGAGTCAAAGCCAAATTCCCATCAGAAAAGATCTGCTGGTATTATAGTGTTAATGGATTCCACTCTTAGCTGGGGGAAAAAACTGATTTTTCTGGAGGCAAGTGTATTGTACTGATCTATTTAGAAGAACACTTTCACAAAGGAGGTCGTAGCCTTTACCTGCAAGTTTACCTGTGTTCCTGCCTGTCCCTTGCTCCTGGATCAGCCTCTCCCACTTGAACTCTCCTAGCTCCGCACTGCCCACGTGAAGAAATACGTGGCACAGGACCAGGAAGGCACTTGCACCCAAACGGTGCCTTCCTAGTCAGAGAATAAATTAGATACCCCTATTTTTCAAATTACATATCAACTCTTAAAGGGTTAGTTTAGGAAGTTATCTAGCCATTTACTTGGGGTTTGTTTTGTTCTGGTTTTCTTTTAATGAATGCCAGTATAAAGAAGGAAAGAAACTGAAGCCTAAGCCAAACTACAACAGCGTAGATCTCTCAGAAGTGGAATGGGAAGACCAGGATGAAATTGTGAGTATCAGAAAGTGAATTTAGCATTTTTTGTAGCTCCTTCTTTCTATTGCTTTGTGTGCCTGTATGGAAGGGGCGGGGGAGCAACAGGCAGCAGGCACTCCTGTTTTTTCTGTGTCTGACTGGCCCTAAGAGAGGCTGGTGGTCTACAAGAGGTCAAGGGTGATGCTCCCCTAGAAAGTGCTTGTCTTCCTTCCCAGTGTGAGTGTTCTTCCTCATGGAACAGGGGGGGCAAGCGCTGGCAGGAGGAAGGAAGCACTTTAGAGGGTGCTCCGGGGAGCCAGTCTGTGTGTACACGGCCCAAATGCTGCCTTAATACAAAGGCAAGATAGCTTAGGAGTATGGCAGTGTCCCATGATGTTATCCATATATGTAGTATGTGAGATACAGCTGAAGCCACTCAACTAACGAGATCTGCAACAAGGAAGAAAGTACATTCAAAAAGACACTAGAGCTTCCAGTCACTATGAATAACAGACAAAGAGGATAAGGGACTCAGACACTTAGGAAAACCAAATTTCCAGAAACCACCTTGTTGCACAGGTGTGGAGGCACTGAAAACAATAGCTGACCAGAGGGAAAAGATTAGAAAATACCTTTTCTACTGTCTTTCGAGCAAAATTATTAAAAAGTGATAAACAAGAAACGGCACGCACCTTAACAGCTGCACGTTGCCGCATTGCACAACTAGGAACCCAGATATAATGAGAAGGTAGAGAGATTCCTCTGTGGCTGGTTTTCTTTTACTTGGAAGAATTAGGAGAGAATAGATACTTAAGTTACTAAGATAAGAACTGAATTTGGAGTAAGGTAGAATTAGCTGTGGGACACATGCTTCTGGATTACAGGGGAGACTGCTGACATAAATGGATCTGATGCTATAGATATCCACTTAAACAGGTAGGACAAACGAACTGCCCAGCAAGAGGATCAAAGTAGCTACTGCTGCTAGTGCAGGCCAAATACAAAGGGCCAGACCAAAGGAACTTTAGAAGTGGAAGAGTGGCAAATTGAGAAAGGAAGTACAGCAGAACTGGGTGTGAAACATGGAAAGCAAAACAAAAATAAGAGGCTTTACATGCAGTGGAACCACCAAGATACAGGTTGCCAATGGCTTTGTGTGGGTTTGCTGATATCTTCTAGGACCTCTGCTCCCATCATAGTTTTCTCTCTCACTGGAGCCACTTTTAGAGCTGTTCCTCTTTACCCAGTTTGCTATTTTATGGAAAAAAAAATCCAGGAAATGAGAGGACTTTGCTTTACTGTCATATTTATTTGGCTTGCAGGTTCCTATCTGGCCAAATAACATTGATACCTGAAAGCAAATATGATGCAAATTGTAAGGTTTCTGTCCATAGGCAATCAGAGTAAAATTATCCAGTGGAAAAAAAGGTCAAAAGAGGCATGAAAAACAAAGTCACTTTGTGTGACTTCCAGAAGAAAGAAAGGTTGCAGTCACTGAGGGTACAGAGACATTCAGTGATGCAAGCGATATCTGCAGTGTGACTTCAGCAAGTCTAGAGACTCTCAAGATACACCCACTGCAGCAGAAAGCTGCCAACATTTCAACACTCAGATTTGCAGCTATGGTATTAGATCAATGACAGACTTAACATCAGTTGCAGTATAATCTCAGCAACACTGATAAGCAGCAAATTCAGACTGGAAAAGTATGCCCAAGTGCTAATGATGTGTAATACAGCCAGCTGCTAAAAAGAAATCTAGGGGAAGGAAGATGGCACTGTCTGGAAAATACCAATTGATGCACAATAGTGCTATCTGCAGCTGGGCAGCAAGGAAGTTTGGGGTTACTTGTAAAGCAACACAGGGATATTCTCAGTGCAAGGGTGTTGTGGTTTAACCCCAGCTGGCAACTAAGCCCCACACAGCCACTCGCTCACTCCCCCCTGGTGGGATGGGGGAGAGAATCAGAAGAGTAAAAGTGAGAAAACTCATGGGTTGAGATAAAGACAGTTTAACAGGCAAAGCAAAAGCCGTGCACACAAGCAAAGCAACACAAGGAATTCATTCCCCACTTCCCATGGGCAGGCAGGAGTTCAGCCATCTCCAGGACAGCAGGGCTCCATCACCCCTAATGGTGACTTGGGAGACAAATGCCATCACTCCAAACGTCCCCCCTTCCTTCTTCCCCCAGCTTTCTATGCTGAGCATGATGTCCTGTGGTCTGGAATATCCCTTGGGTCAGTTGAGGTCAGCTGTCCCGGCTGTGTCCCCTCCAACTCCTTGTGCCCCCCCAGCCTCCTCGCTGGTGGGGTGGGGTGAGGAGCAGAAAAGGCCTTGGCTCTGTGTGAGCACTGCTCAGCAGTAATGAAAACATCCCTGTGTTATCAACACTGTTTTCAGCGCAAATCCAAAACATAGCCCCATACTAGCTACTGTGAAGAAAATTAACTCTATCCCAGCCAAAACCAGCACAGAGCAGAAAAGGGAAGTGTCAAGAGATCTTCCCCAGCAGTCTGGGAGCTGTCAGCCAAACAGATTTTCTTCAGCCTTGACAGAACCACTGAAGAAGAAATTAGTCTGCAAAGATGTTGAAGCTGAGTGGCAAAACATCTAGATGTTGTGAGACCCCTCATGTAAACTGTATGTCTGTGTTGGTTTGAAACCACACAAGCAGATAGGGGAAAGGTGTCAGCAGCACCCGTTACCAGTGATGGGAATGGCACAGACTGATTAGCCCTGGAGCAGGAGAGTTTGCTGTTTGGGGTGTCAGGAATGAGTGCTTCAGCATGCACCCGACTGCCCCTTTGTCCGAACTCTGCTACACATTTTTCAAAGTGGAGGCCAGCTGTTGCCATAAGTGTCCTGCCTGAAAAGCATTACGGGGGCTCCCAGACACCAGGACTGTAATTGATTTCTCAATGCAGGAAAAACTACTGAGGAAGAAGCAGCGAGCCAGGATTGTGGCACCAACCTCCAGCCACTGTCACCTGGGGGCTGGGCACAGGGCAAGTAGCCTGCCTGCAGGCTATCTGGAGCTGAGGAGATCCAAGGAGATCTCAGATATCCACTGAATTACTTCTCCGCTGCCTTATGGGGCAACGAGAAACACCCGACATTCAAGAAGATATGGATGAAGCAGCACTATCTGAACTAAACCCAGAACCCACAGAAAATGCTGCAGGCTGTCAGACCAGAACAGAGAGTATGCTGTGGCTCTGGCAGGAGGTCAAACACTCTTAGCCAAAAAGGAGTAATAGTACTAGTCAGTGTTTTGATTTCCAAGACATGGGCCTTGGGAAACACAAGCTTTATATTCTAGGTCTGTAAATAACCCACATCAAGCAGCCATAATAAACAGAACTGTGGCCCTGTAAAGCAAAAGCAGTTGAGACTGGCCAGCATCTGAATGGAGGCCTGTCTCTGGCAGTAAGGAAGCAATTCGTGTGAATGAATAAGTTACTTCCCACCTTTTTTTCTATCCAGGCTGAAGCAATAGGTTGATGTGCTCTGGCAGGCTGGACAAAAAGTCAAAGCCTCTGCACTTGTGGAAAAATTCCCTGGCTCGCTCTTGCAAGAGGCTGGGAGTCACAGTGAAAATTACATTTTGCCTTTGAAACCTGGACTGAATAAAGTGGTCTTTTTGCTGCCTACTCTGCTATCATACAGTCTTGCTTTACTGTGTTAAACAGCTGCTTTGCTGCACCTCAGAAGTGGTGGTGAATACAGCCTATAATTTATAAATCAGTTTAAAACATGTCCAAGAGCTTTGGAATCGGTCTGGGGGAGTTAGTGGGTTTCTCGGGTGTCTCCTCTTCCAGGTTCTTAAAGCACCATGCTAATGACTTTCTGGCTGCCAAACAGTGAAGTCTGAAACTTGGACTGGCAATTTCATAGCTTCCAGATCTTTTCCTTTTGCTAAAAAGACATATCAACAAGCTTTCAGCATAAGCCATTATTATTCTGTGTCACTTATCAGCCTGACTGAATGAGGATCTGACCACTGAGAACAGTTTCTCAATTTAAAAAAAGCAAGAAAGAGCTGTGGGGGGACAAACAAACAGTCACTCTTTTCTGCCAGTCCCTGTTCATTAATGACAAGTGGCTCTATTAGTTCCTGTTCTGCCCTGCCTGGAGACACTAATACTAATCTTGTTCACCTCTGCAGCTGAGAACTGCCATGATCAATGGAGAAACAGGCTACCTCTCTATGGATGTGAAGGTCCCTGTGGATAAAGGGGTAAGAAATTATCCTTCTGTTCAGGTCACACGAGAGAGGGGATGGGAAATGGATGCTGAAGAACCACGAAGGATGTGGTTTTAATACTCAGCATTTCTGAGTGTGAGGATTTTATTGTTTCACCGCATATATAACACATGTGCTAAAGACACAAAATAGAGCATCGTTAGAAATGCTTTTTATACCTACTGACATTCTGCTCTTGCAAAGATATTGGAAATGCCTCACAGCTCCCTACTTTGTCCAGGCAAAACCAAAAAACATGTTGTTCATTGTTTATAGGGCTGTGAAATGAATTGGAAATCTTCACGAGTTTAGAATGGGGAAAGACTATGCTGAGCTGAGCTGACCTAGACAGAAAGAGGTTTGGAGGCTATTTTGCAATTCCCTTTCCCTACCCAAAAACACTCATGAAAACTTTGTCCCTCACTCTGTCAGAATGCCATTTCCTTTATCCAGGTCCAGGATTAAATTTCTATGCAAATATTTACAGACATTTTATGAAAAGTCCTAGTGAAATGGAGACTTTTGAATGTTCCCTACCAGCTCTAATGTAGGGTTATACATCTTCCCTTGGAATCAGTGCAAAATTATCTTGTACATTTACGTTCACTCGTACTTTTTCATTCAGGTTTATTTAACTCTCCTAAAGACTTTGGCTTTCATCATTTCCTGTTAGGAAGTATTCCAGAGTCCTGCAAGTTACACTGCCCAGAAGTCTTCCATATTTCAGGAAAACTTTCCATCTTTTATAAAGAGCATTTTTTTAAGCGATCAAGCTGGCTGAACTGCTGCCATGCTAAGCCACAGTCAGCACCAATTCCAATAAACTGACTGCTCACAGCCACTGCTGAAATGATGCCATTTCCTAATGAAGACACCCCTCCATTTCCTTTGAAAGGTTGTACTTGTGGATCTTGTAACTAAATTCTCTTTCTATATTCTTGGTATTTGCAACTATCAGGTACCTGTCAATTGCTTTGCCCTTCCTCTCTTGGGCATTGCCAACATCTGCATTTGAAATACTTGCACACTTTTCAGTCCAAGCAGTTCAGCAATTATTTTTGTTCCCTTTGTCTCTTGTATCATTTCTGGTACACAAGTACCAGGGCTTCACTGAATTATTTGAGTACTGTTTCCCTGTCGCTCTGTAGAGAGCGTCTATTCTCTGCAATAAGATATTTCTGAACAGGGAGCCCCAAGTCTCCTTTCTGCTGTCCCTTCAATTTTCACCCCTTCCCACAGTTGCGCCGGAACAGCTACCTTGGTGTCCATGTTTCTTAGCTATTTTTTTCAGTTGCCATTTTTCCACATGAATCCCACTCCTTTTTGTCCAGTCTTTCTAATTTTTACGGCTGTTGGGACTTTTTCTCAATATGCAGTGAAATGTTGTTTTATTTTGTCTTACAGATCATTGTACATAAGGGCTCCTAAGACAGAGCCTGTCTGTTCATCTCATTAAATCTTTTTCCCTCGACGCCCTGTTGTTTACTGTTTCTTTTTGTTTACAGTACTGCAGCTGGTTCTCACTCCACATCTTATTTAAGCCCACTTTAACTGATTCTTTAGAATAAAATTTCATGAGAAGCTGTTTCAAGCGCTTTATATAAACCCAGATACATTGCATGTCCTTTATTCCCTTCATCCATTACCTTTGTTATTCTGCCAGAAAAGCAATCAGGGTTTTCAAGCAAGATCTATTCTTTATAGGTCTAGATTGCTTATTTTGCTAGCTTAACCTCTTTCTCTGTCTCTGTGCACCCTCAATAACATTTCCTCTGAGTCATCCAAGGATACCTTTTTAGTTCAATATTTTAGGGACATCTTTCTGCTCCCCTACTCAGGGAAAAAAAAGATAACAAAAAGTAGCCTTGGTGAAAGATATTACCTGTTTTATTCTGCAACTCTGCAAGCGTTATGAAGCATAATAGGAGACTGAAGCTGAGTATGTGACAGTTTTACTATTATCAGAATACACACAGAACGAGGACCAGAAGTGAAACTTAGCAATTCCCACTTGTACTCTGCTAGCTGATGAAGCAGAGCAGCATTGAAACAAAGAAAGTGCTGACAGAGTCTTGAAACAAAGAGAATGAGGCAGTCAGATGGTGGAGAGAAGGGCTGAGTGAAGGGGAAGAAATTATTCTGCCAGCCATGTAAACGTTGATTCCCCAGGTTGATCTCGAGAAGGTATTGAGAGTGGAGTGAGACAGAGAGGGAAAAACAAGGACCAAAGACAAGGGGCAGTTGTTAGACAGATCCAGTGGCAAAAATGCCTTCCCTTGCAGCTAGGGTACAAAAGGGCTGTGATTGTGAAAGCAGAAGAGCACGGACATGGGTACGAGCTGTGGCAAACCACTGATAATGGCATTAGCTAGGACTGGTTGCCTAGTACCGTTACAATACCAAAACTGGAAACACATGTGTTCCCAGACAGCAGGTGCTGGTAGTCAGCAGTCCTATCACTGTGCCAACATGCCCATGTTCCTGTCTTCTCTGTTGCTCTGAGCTACATAGCAAAGTTCTGTCTGATCATCCTCAGCCCCTCTTGGCTCAAGGGTGCCTCTGCTTCTCTTCAGTCCCATGGATAAGTGGTGATACCTCCAGCTGTCTTGGGGAGGGCTGGCCACCCATCCCCAGCCCCTTGTCCAAGCAGAGGTTTGCCTTCCCTCCCACAAGGCGCAAGTGCTGAGTGGCTGTATGTGCAGAAGAGGGGCAGGTCAGGGGAACAAAGGATGAGCAGAACAAGCCCTGCTGAAGGAAAGATTCTCAGAGTAGTGGTGCCCCAGGCCATTTTCTACTGCGTCCTTTCCCCCAGGGCCAGCCTACACCCTCAGGTCTCCTTCTTCCCCATGCCTCCCCGCCTCTGCCATTAGATCAGACTGGCAAGGAAAGGGAGGCTTAATATCTCTCCACAGCCACCAAAACACCACCGTGCCGTGTTCCTTAGGGGTATCAAAGCACTGTTGGAACACCTCGGCTCAGCAAAAGACTCGGACCCTGGTGTTCAGCAGTACAAAATTGCCGTGCATGGAGAGAGAGGGGAGGGAAGGGGTTGAGCCGTCTGCCACCTCCTCACCTAACAATAACCCCATCCCCATCAGCCCATCTGCTGTGTGCACAAACTCAGGGCACACTGTGGAGCTGGCACTGGCTCGCCCTTTGTGCTTCGCTCCACTTCCACTGCTGCACAGCTTGAGCAGGTTAGAGCAGGCGCTACTTTCCCTGGGGAACACTGAGTTTTCTGTGTTCACTCCCTGTCTCCCACACACATCCTCTCACCTCGTTTTCAGACTGGGGCTGGGATTTTAAACATATTAGGGTTCATATACTGGCATAAGGGTTGGATAGAAACTTTCCAAAAACTTTTCTCCTTTGGAAAAGAGTTCCACTGAAATCAACACTTTTCTACAGGAAAAGGCCAGTCTGGCAAACAGCTGAAGTTCTGAAGCAGCTTTCAATAATCTGAAATGTCTTCAGCTGAAATGTCAGTCTGAAGAAAATATTTTCATGTGAATCAAAACAGCTTGGATTTGAATCAGCACTTTTTTTCAGTTTGAAAATGTAATATTTTTTTTTACTGATTTTTTTAACAAAATTGGAATATGTTAATGTTTTGTCCCAGTTTGGCATGAAAGCAAATGTCAAGAATCTCAGCATTTCCCACAGGAGTGGGGAGACTTGGCCCTGGCTGCCCACCCACACAGTGGGTATGTTTGCTATCCTGCCTTTCCTCTGACCCCACCTCTCCTTCCTACTTGTCCTACTGAGCCCCCCTTCTGCTTGTGATGATGATGTGCAAAGCCATCAAGGTTGCTCTGTATAGCAAAAGAGCAGCAGGGCCCCAGCGCGTTGGCTGGGAGGGTGTGAGAGGGAGGGCAGCTTCCCCCCACCCCTTCCTGCAGCCTGTGCCGGAGCCCTAGAGCAAAGAAAGGTTTAACTGAAGCCCTAGATGGAAAGATAGAGTGGCTGCCTGGATCCTGAAAGTCACAAGTTGCTGAATATGCTGAATACTGCACATTCATCCCTGCCTCCAGCCAGCCCTGGCAGGGTGTGAAGTGTTGGTAATGATCAACTGTTCTTGCTTAGCCTTGGGGATGTATATCCCAGGTCCCTATCATCACTATGCTCTTGGTCTGTCAGATGGTCTGTCACTTTCTTATTCATGCTCTCATTCCAGAAACGAGTTCTCTTCCTCACCAATGATTATTTCTTCACGGATATCAGTGGCACACCCTTCAGGTGAGCAAGGACTGCCATGATACCAATATGGTGTATCAGAAGTCTGCCATCAGGGACAGCAAATTGGTCCCTTCATAAAACTGGCTACGACTAATGAGTAGAGCAGTGGGAATAACTGACTTCTTTGTTCCTATAGCCATTAAAATATTGTTTGGGGTCAACTCAAAAGGAATATTATGATTTATCTGAAGTTCAGAGTCCAAAATCTACACCTTAGGAGAAGCATGTTGTTTCATTTCAAAGAAATGACACATCTTCAATTTTCAGTTCCACTGAATATGTTTTATATTCTGGTGTATGGCTCTAAACGAAACATTGTTATAAACTGAAAATTATAAAACATCACATAAGAAATCAAGCAACACTTTTTTTGTGATTTTTTTTCCCCAGCTGAAATGGTTTGAAATTGGCACAGATTTGAGAAATGTTATTGTTGACCTGAACCTACAACATGGGCCAAAAAAATTGTCACCAAAAATGCCTCATAGCTCTACAGAGAGGTTCCTTAGCCTCTTGTGCTGAAATCGGATCTCACTTAATCCTCTTTTGATGATGTTCTTTTCTTTAATAGCTGTGGAGGGAGTTAATGTCTTTAGGGGTTGTAATTGCAGGGAACGCAGTGTCATGTTTAGGGATTACACCTCTCCTTGCTGACAAGCCCTCTGTTTTCCTTCCTGCCTGCAGCCTGGGTGTTGTGCTGTCCAGGGGCCATGGGGAGTACATTCTGTTGGGAAACACTTCAGTGGAAGAAGGTAGGTTAAGCTGAAACACCCACGCTGTCCTAAGGGACAAGGTAGCTACTCTGAACTTCACTGCTTCACTTCTCCTTTACAGCCTGTATCTGCCTGCCTGCTACCTAACTGAATACTGTATGTATTATCTGGTTTCAGGTTTGCATGACTTGCTCCAGCCAGACTTGTCTTTAGCAAATGAATGGTAAGTGGAGGAAATCCTGTCAATGACACAGGACTTTGTCATGAGATTTTTGACAAAGCTCCCAGCAATTTGGCTTGAGTTCACCACCCTCCATGGCCTAGAGAAAAAGCAGTGTTGTTCAGGGGCTGTACCTGCAAAGACCTGATTGTCTCCAGGCAATTCAGTTCTACCTCTCCCTTTGGGAGATCCCACCAAGGCCTGGCACATCCCTCTGCTAAGAAACATCTCCTGAAATTTATCCTCAGTCTTCTGTGTTCAGACTTATTTTGTTCCTCCTTGTGTTCCTCAGAATTGTGCTACAAAACCTACAGTATGTCAGTCCTGTCAGGAAATTTTGTTGCAAGCTTAGCGAGAGATTGAAATGCTTTTTTTAAATCCTAGCTTATTTTTGGTTGGCATTCTTCTAAACTGAGCCTAGACCTAATTTCTAGTGAACATGGAAGTGATTTATGACCCCTATTTCAACAGCAAGCATAATTTATGGTTTTGCTTTGTTTGGATATGAAACAGGGTGAAGCATGGCACTTTCCATTTATTGCTGAGAGGTTTGGGATTTTCATGAACCCAACATTCAGTTACACCCAGGCACATGAACCCAGCCTGTAACAAAGCCAAAATAACTATATTCAAGAAGCCCTGCAGCCCTTCACACCTCTCATTACACTGTCAAGTTTCACAGGCAGTGCATTTGAGACACAAGCAGTGACTTCTCCTTCTTCTACTCCTAACTTGGGGTGTCAGCTTACCACACTTTACATATTCATTTCTCTTAGACGTCTCTCATAAATCACTCCTTTCAGCCCCTTTATGAGTTGTAATTCTCTCTTATAACCCCTTCCTCTCTGTTGTCCTGACAATGAAGCAGTCAAAACTGGAAGCAGGATTAGAAGACTGGTTTCTTTTATAATACATTTGTAATACATTCTCCCGTTTCTCCCCAAACTGTGTCCTGAGGCTCCTGCCTCCATGTCCATTTGGGACAGCTTTTGTTGCCACCATATCATACTGCAAGCTCATTCCTTGTCTCACATTTTGTTTCACTGTGTCTTGGTTTATCTGCTCCCAATTCAGTTTTACTCATATTGCATGCGACCCTCTGCTTTTCAGGTCTCTCCATCACATTGTTATTGTTTACATAGACACAGGTACACATCTTAACATATACAAATAACTGCTGGAAGGATTTGGGACTGCTATGTCGCATTGTGAGCTTATGCTGGAGAACATAACAGCAGCCCTACTAAGCGCAGCAGTCAGATTAATTGGTGTTTGGTTTATCGGTAGGGTTTGACTTACAGCCACATTGTTAGATTTTGAGTGGGCACGGTATGCAGCAGCAGCAGCAAAATCTTTGCAGCCCAAGCTTTCTTGCTGAATGTTTGTTTTCAGTTATTATTTTCCAGGAGCATTTGCTTGATTGTGGTTTCTCTTTGCCCTTGCGGGCTTCTTCTTCCCTCCCCACCAGGATTTACTGCATCACCGACATTGATCCTGACCATCGGAAGCTCAGCCAGCTGGAGGCTGTGATCCGTTTCCTCACCGGAGAGGAACCTGACTTGGAATGTGAGTCCCAGGCACCAAAAGGGCCCTGCTGGGGTTTTCCTGTACCCATCACAGGGGAGAGGGGACTGTGACAAACTGATTGGTGTCAGATTGAGCTCCTGTGGCACCTGCTCACACAGGCAGGACTGAACTCAAGCCCAGCTTAATTCACATGTGGAAATGAGCTGAGGATCCACCTCCTTGTTTTCGTCAGAGGATTTTTTTTCCATTTCAAAGCTGTCACATAACTCAGCCTTACTGAGGGTCTCAGCATAGGAAATACTGAAAAGTGAAAGGCTTGAATGAAGCTTGGTGGGGGCTGCACACCATGTCTAAGACAGACTGACCAGCTGGGCTAGAGGGGGTGATGGCAGGAGGAGCCAGGAAAGATGCTGTGACTGCTCTGCTCTCCAGGGCCCCAGCCAGCATCCTCCAAGGGGTGCGTGGTGACATCTAGACAGATGGGTTCTTTCAGAAGAAGGATTATTAATTTTGTTTTCCAAACACAATTGGTAACTGATTTGGGAAAAACAATTGTTACAGCACTATTATCTTTCCTGCCCCCCCTGCTGCTCATGCCTTGCACCAGGTCCCATTCTCCAGGCGACGTGTGGCCAGACAAGCAGCTGATACAGCACCACTGTGGAGTGGGATCTCTGTCAGGGGGCAGAGGTGGGCAGCTGTGCATGGGAACTCCCTACAGCAATTTAGCTTTAGGATGTCCTTCAGCCCACCTCACTCTACATGGCTTCAGCCCCCTTAGTTGTGCCAAGTACAAGCTTTTGCATGTAATGTTTTACCTGAGAGGCACGAACCTTTGGCACGAGGATGGGAATCTCTTAAAACTAAAATCAAATGTAATCCAATAATTGTTCCTCTCTTGCACACGTGAGCAGACGCCTCCTGGCTGTCTTTGGAGGAGGCTGAAAAGAGGAGATATATGAGTTGAAGAGGCCAGGGAGGAGGAAGAAAGCTTCAGGAGAGCTGACTGTGAGAAACATGCAGATTTGGAAGTGCTGTGGAGGAAAAAGAAATAGGATTTGGATACATCCTAGACATGTGGGGCCTGGGGAGGGAAAGATCTGCTGGTGAGCTCTGGTTTTGAGGTCTGAATGACAGCAAGGATGGAGAAATGGATTCTGACAACTGTGACAAATACAGGAGAAAAAGTTGGGAGAACTTGGGAGAAAATATTAGGGGAGACCTGGGACCTCAACCCAGTAAGTGGAGGCAGAAACACTGAAACAGGGGGAGGGGAGCTCCATCTAGAACAGCACTGAAAGGGACATAGCCGCAATATGATAGCCATCAAATTCTCACAGGATGAAATGAACGCAGGCAGGGCAATACAGAAATGAAGCAGGTCAAATAAATGGGATCTTACAGTATGCCATTGAGCACATATCCGAACCTTCCTAAACACCTCTCAGTCCCAATCCATGCTGGACTAGACTGGTAGCCCAGACTGGCTTGAGCATCTGGGGGGAATCAGGACAGGACAGCATTTTGTGAGATTTACAGAAATGACAGAGAGGAAACAGAGAAGCCAATGAACACAAGGACAGAGTAGAAGCCATGAAGAAGTCACATGGGGCTTTGAAGAAGCTTCTTGAGTGGAATGGGGTGTCTGGTGTCCTTCTACAGGGCACCTAGAAGACAGATCAAAACAGGGATTTGAAGCAATGGTTGTGGACAGCCTGTTCAATCAAGGAGAAGGTCAGACTGAAGGCCTGATGAATAACTTCATTTGAAAGCCTCTCATTTGCCCACGCTTTCAAACCCAAAGTTTCAAACCCTTCCACTAAGTTTGCACAGGAACCAGTCTGATGATCTCAGATGTAACATCTGTTCTTGTGCTCTCCATCATCCAGAGTGATAGGTCCTGTTCTCAGCCCTGCAGGGGGAAGCCTCTTTTTGTGACATGTTGCTTCACTGCCCTGGGCCAGGCAGATGTTCCATAATAAGGAACTCTAAGACATCTCAGGAGAGACATATCTTTCTCTCCTGATTCTTGTTCTCTCTTCTTAGGTGATGAGGAGTTGGTCCAGGAAGTGCTGTTTGATGCAGTGGTCACTGCACCCATGGAGGCCTACTGGACAACACTAGCCCTCAATATGTCCATGTAAGTCTATGAGAAATAAATATGAGTAAAACAGGATTGAAGATGCATTGCCAGATGCTATGGGTTTATGCAGTGCCTGAAACAGTCACAGATCCTTGCAGAGAGTATAAGAAACTTTAGAAATAGCTAAAAAAGCTGATAGAAATAGCTCAATAGCTTTAGAAATAACTCAAAAAGTGTCTCTCAGGAATGGACTCCAGCAGGTTGGACCTTCTCAGGGGACCCTTTAGTTTGGTGAGTTTGTATATCACTGGAGGACAGCAGTGATGCAGCTATGCCACTGCAAGGGGTGTTCAGCACTAATTCTTTGCAGCACCTAACACAGATGCACTGCATTTGCCTCTGTAGTTGATAGAATTTGGTATCTCAGGGCACCTGAGACATTTCAGTTTAAAGTTATGAGTTATTTCTGCATGCATCAGTTATCCCTTTGAATGGCAGCAGTGTGGTTTGGCTTGACTTCGCATATGACTGTAGCAGAAGTTCCATGCCAGGTGGCAAGGAATTTGCTCCCTTAGCATCAGCAAAGGAAAGGGAGTTTGATCTTGTCTCTGTTGGTGATGCCTTCAGATTAAGCCTCAGGAAGGGGGTGAACAGGCTGGCTTCAGTGAACAACTTTCTACTTTATTATTTCCAGAGAGACACCTTTTGCTTGTAGTATCTAATAACATCACACAGATCTACTTTCAGTAGACAACATGCCACTTACTTACACAGATGCGTGACCACGGGAGTCCTGTCCCCATTTCATTTACCAGTATCCTCACCACTAACAGAGCTTGAGCCAACGGCAATCATGCTAGGACACCCAATTATCAGCACCTCTTTAAATGGCTACACCAACACAATCCCCTCACTTTAAGGCCATGGCACTGCAGCAGGCTTTCCACCATGTAGCTGTTCCATCTGTGTCCTTGATACCTCCAGCAAGATGTACCCAAAACAATCTACTGCTTCAGAGTCAGTCTGCTAGCCTGCCCATCCCCTGCATGCTTGAGACAACCATTTTCTCTCTGCAGTCCCTCTCCCTCACTTCAGCCTCATGCGAGCAACCTGGAGCAGGGCTAGCAAGAGGAGAGGAGCTTACGGTCTACTTAGAAGTAAATTGAATGAGCAGACTTCAAAGGTGTGAATCTAGGCAAAGGTCTAAGCCCGCCAACTGTTAGCCAGTAACAATCTGTTGCCCTTAGCAGGTAGGAGCCAGTGTCACTCCTGGTATAAACGGGTTATATTGCAAATGAACTTGGGACCGCATCTCCAGGTGTGGCTTCTATTTTGAAAGGTCCTCACCCTGAGTCAGGGAGACAGCTGTTGTTCTGAGAACTGTTTGCTTCTGCTTGCGTATTTCTGTTCCACAGGGAGACTGAGGTGGGTGTCGAGATGGCATTTCTGGGCACTCGGGCTGGACTCATGCGGAGTGCCCTATACGTGGGCTCTGAAAAAATTTCCAACAGGTACGTCCCTCAACTGCACTAAGGAATTTCTCTCAGTGACTCTGAAAGGGCAGCACGAAATCACCACCAGCCTTAGAAATGTATTTGGGAAGACAGAAACAGAAAGGAAAGAAGCAACACCTTGGTGGCATGGGTGCCGATTTACAGAGTTAGGGTAGTAAGGGTCCTTTGTCATCTTCTGGTCCTTTTGAGTTTTTCTTAAATACTGTCCCAAAGTGCATTCTTTTCAATGAAAACCTTCAATCGCTCCCTGACTTCAGTCAGCTAACAGAGAAAATGTTCACATTTACTATATATCCCCAGGACCATTTTGCAGTACAGAGGCTCTGCACTCCAGTGCCCCGGTGACATTCCAGCTTGGCTAGGTTTGATCTTTCTGTCTCAATTCCTCTTCCAGGTTTATTCTGTTCTGCCTCTTACATTGCCCACATCGCAGTAGTATCCCAGTGCCTTCCAGTGAGGCATTAAGTGATGTGAGTGACATCTGTCATATATGATTCATTCTCTTGTCTTCTCCTTCAAGGCAAAAGTGTGTGTGTTCAGCGGAGGGTTTTGACGTGGAAAGGGTATAGTTTGCATTTTTGTTGCGTTTTGAATACGCAGGCTGCTGCATGCTGCTCTGAGAAAGGACAGGTCACAGAGGCACGCCAGCAGATGGAACAGAAGGGGACAGTGTCGGTGGTGGTCCTTAGCTTCTTGGCAGCTGTTTTCTGTCTCTGAGTTCCCCAAACACAAGTCATAAGTTCAAGGCAGAGAGCTCGGCTGTGCCTGAAAGGTGACACTCCGTCAGCCACACTCTTCATGTTTTTGAGGCAGTCTGGATAAGTCAGAGTCGTCAGGCCCTGGTGACAAGGGAGAAAACAACCTGTGCCATAGGAGGCCGCTGTGATGATTCCCTACCCCAGACTGCTCATCAGGAGCATCGTCCAGTGCTTTTAAACAGCTGCAGTCACCACGCTGCAGTGACAGACCCCCCACACATCACACGAGGGGCACTTCTGGAATCCCCTGAAGGGAGGGAACCATATAAATGAATAATTATCGTTACATCAAAATATACAGCAAAACGAGAGCCTGAAAACAAAGGGGATTTGTCAGGCAAGACGCAGGGACCTCCAGGGAGGCCAATGACCTGATTTTCACGAGGTGTCTCCTGAGCACCCACTGCCCTCAGGACCCACCCTCTTGCCTTCAGGAGCACCGCTTTCCTCAAGTGCTTAGTTCCCTGCATCTCGAGGAATCCAGTATTTAGCCACAGCAGCGCGACCTTCTGGTTTTTGGGTTGTTCGGCGGGTTTGGGTTTTTTTTGTAGGAGACTGCCTAATTCCCTTTTCTCACCTGCTCCCCATGCTCCTGTGGTAATTACCGGCCCTCCACCGGGCACACGCCGCCGTAGCTTCCCTCGCCCACCCGCTCTCGCCCGCCGCGCCTCACTTCCCGCTCCCGGCCCTGCCCCTTGCACCTCACGGCCTAACCTGCCAGGC